AAACATATTTTAGTGCTATTTTTGGAAGATCTTCCTAAACTGTATTAGCGTATCCAAAACCAACCAGAACACATGATCCCTAAATCAGGGCCGGTCCGGTATATCTAAATGCTCTACGCCACTAAAAAAATTTTTATCCTTTGTAGAAGAAAATTTTTCCTAGCATCACAAATAAGATTGATACTAGAAATTAACCCGCGGTACACCGCGGGGCTATATTTTAAAAAAAAATTAAAATTTATTTTTTAAAAATTATCTATAGATATAACCTATTGTTTTGTTTGATTTAAATGTACATATATATGTATATATATTATCTCACAGTACATCTTGAGTCGATATTTTATAACTAAAAATTTTAAATTTTAAGTTATATTTGTTTTGTGAATATTATTTGTTTTGTTTAGTGTTTAAAATTATATAATTGTATTTGATTGTTAATTCTAGGATATCACCCATAGTATACTGTCCCGTATTAATATCGACCCAAACATGTCCCACCATATAACCCCATCCCGTGAAATTAAACATCTTTTTGTTAGATTCGTAAAATTTTAATCTATATTTACATTTTTGGAGTCGTTATATGTAGATTAGGAATATCAAAAATGATAATTTGCTATTAATTAAATGCTCTCAAAAATATCGTAGGTAAGATTTTAGAAACTAACATTTGAGTGAATATAGAGATATTTTGGCAATATTGTTATACGGCAAATCTTAATCTTTAAATATGAAAATAATAATTAAATGCAGTGGCATGGACTCGTAAATACATCCCAACTCCAGGATTTATTTACTAAGGGGGTGTTATTGGTTTATTCATTTGTAAATCCATATAGGATTTGAAAATTTCTATTAATTATGAAATCAAAATATGTGGATTTTGAAATAACATGTGTTTACCCATGAATTTGAATCCTTCTATTTTTCTCTTTCAATTCCATTCAAATCCATTTAAAACATAATTTGGATTTTCAAATCCAAAAACAAATGACTAAACGAATAACATAGGATTTTAACTAGTATTTATAAATCATAGAACCAATAACACATGATTTTGATTAGAATTTTAAAATCAATGATTGAATAACACATGATTTTTGTTTGGATTTCTAATTCCTTATAAATCCATGAACCAATAACCCCTCCTAAATGTACTCCAAAAATGTATATATAGATTTTAGTATTTACCAACCCGCAAATATTTAATTTTATTTAAAAACATATTATTTCTATTATTAGTTTAGTTTAGTTACTAATAATTTAACGTTTACATCTATACTATTAATTGTTTACATATTACAATTTGACAAAAACAAAATATTGGATGGAATGTATGTCGCATATTTTTTTTGGCTATGTACTTAATTTGTTATATTTGGTAAATGAGAAAATATCTGAATATATTTTGTAACATAAATTTTATTACTTAGATTTTATTGTTAAAATATTTTGTATTTTTCAATTAATGACATTCGATTTACGTTGAATTTTTTTGTTTTATCTCTAACAAATTGAAAAATACAAAATATTTCGATTTATATTCGAAATTAATATATTGATGCTGAATATTCAGTTATTATTTAATATTTAATGTTGTTTCCTTTTTTTTGTTTTTGTAGACAAACCATACCAAAAATATTGACGAAGCAAATCTCGGAATATTTTTGATCATTCAATCTCGTTATTTGTTTTTGCAAAAAATTAATGAAGGATCCGAATCAAATATATTTATTTAGTTGTAGTAGTTGTTTATTTACTAAACTACCCATGTAAAAATTCATTTAGTTAGTTTTAAACTACCCTCACAATGTTGTAGTTCACAAAATGCTTCCCAATTAATAGTATAGATAAAAGTCATACTAAAACTAAAAAAAAAACATTGATTAACTTCAAACTAAGTCACTTAGATATTTACTTGATTAATCAAATCAAAACAAAGTTCACATACTTTAACAAGCTTGTAAGCAGCCAAGCACAGAAAGAAAAAATATGAATTAAATCAATGCAAAGAGAAATTTTTGTAACCGTTTAGGGTTTTATTTTATTTTTAAGCCAAAAATTTTACTAACAAAATGTATCAAGAACATATTTTTGTAATTTAAAGGCATAAACACACAAAATATAATGAAAAGAAATCCCAACAAATTTGTTTTTCAAAAAAGCTTATAATTTTTTTTTTTAAATAAAAGACCTAAATTTTTTTTTTAATATACCTCTTTTAATTTGATGCCCTAAGACCTAAGTTATGGTTTCACTTGATTTTGTTATGTGTGTGGTCGGCCCTAAACGAGGAAATAGATTGAAAATAATACTAATTCTTAAGATTTCAGGTATCCTTACACCCTAATTTATAAGTCCTAACTATCAAAAATACACAACATTCATTTGATTTGGTGTTTCTATCAAATTAACTTTTTATATTGCGTTGCTGGTTATACAAACTTTTCTATTTCCATAAAAAACCGTAAAATATGTTTTTTTTTAACGTCGTAAATTGTTTTCTTTTTAATATCTGATTGGGCCACAAAAGACTTAAAAATATCTAAAACCGTGACTTCTTCCTCCTCTCTTCCATGAAATTTCCTTTGATGTGAACGACGATCCCTTGCCCAACGCACAAGTTTCATCGCCTTCCCACATAAACCCAAACCCCAAATTCTCTTCCTTTTTCCTTTTCCTTGCGACAAATCGATTCAATCCCAGATTTCAAAATTCAAAATTTCATCAAAAGTTTGGAGATTTCTCTGAGATTATGGTGAAATCGACGGACGGTGGTGATGGGTCTTCTTCTTCTTCAGTGGCGCCGTTCTTGAGAAAATGTTACGAGATGGTTGATGATTCTTCAACTGATTCTATAATTTCATGGAGTACAAGTGCAGATAACAGCTTTGTTATCTTGGACACGAACGTCTTCTCTGTTCAACTTTTGCCTAAATACTTTAAACACAGCAATTTCTCTAGCTTTATTCGTCAGCTCAATATCTACGTTAGTCTCTCTTCTCCTCTCTTTCTTCAATTGTGTAACAATTGGGTCCTTGCAATTGTGTTGTTTCTTACACATTCTGATTTCGTAGTTTGGTGTGACAACATATGACTTGTGTGATTACTTGCGGTTGTGTTAAGCAAAGTTTCAATTTTTATAGGTTTTAGAGCAAACTGATTATGAATTTGGTTATGAAGCATGAAGAAAGATAGTGTTTAGAGATAGTACTAGTCATTATCTTGAAGACTCCATGTAGTATAATTTGGTTGATCTAGTGTAATCTAGCTCATTCGATCTTTGAGTAGACGTGTGCCTGATTCTTGGATGTGTGGGGTTTATGTTTTCAGGGGTTTAGAAAAGTTGATGCAGATCGTTGGGAGTTTGCGAATGACGGGTTTGTGAGAGGTCAAAAGGATTTATTGAAGAATGTTATCCGGAGGAAGAATGTTCAAGGTAGTGACCAGAGCAAACAGGAGAGTAGAAGTACAACGTATGCTCAGGAAAAGACTGAGAAGAGTGGATTGTGGAAAGAAGTTGATATTTTGAAAGGCGATAAGCAGGTATTGGCGCAAGAGTTGATCAAAGTTAGGCAGTATCAGGAGACGACGGATACTAAGATGTTACATTTAGAAGATAGAGTTCAAGGAATGGAAGAGAGTCAGCAGGAGATGCTTTCGTTTTTGGTAATGGTTATGAAGAATCCAAGTCTTTTAGTTCAGTTACTTCAGCCAAAGGAGAAAAACAGTTGGCGAAAGGGGGAAGGAGCGAAGATTGTGGAAGAAGTGACTGATGAAGGAGAATCAAACTCATCTGGTCTTCCTTTAGTAACATACCAGCCACCATCGGAAAACGGAACAGCAAAGTCAAACACGAACGACGTAAATGATTTTTTGAGAAACGCCGATATGTTGAAGTTCTGCCTAGATGAAAATCATGTACCATTAATCATACCTGATCTATACGATGATGGAGCATGGGAAAAGCTTTTGTTGTTGAGCCCTTCAAGGAAGAAGACGAAGAAGCAAGAGAACATTGTGAAGAAAGGAAAGGATGATTCGACATTGGAGGAGGAGGAGGAGGAGGAGGATGGAACTATGGAATTAGAAAAGAGCCAAATGCTCAAGCTGATATCAGAAGAGATGGAGAAACCAGATGACTTTGAATTTGGACAGCTTACTCCAGAGAGGTCTAGGAATCTTGAGATTCTGACTGAGCAAATGGAATTGCTGGCTTCAAATGATTAAGCAGCAATAACCGAAACACCGGATTGATTTTTTGAACATATCAGTCTCAAACTTTTGTTATGTAAACTCTATATAATGAACAAGAAGTAGGCACCGGAATATTATTTTCACCGGTGCAATTCTCAAAGATGTTATAGCGTCTTACTACAAAAACATGGTTGAAACTTTTTGACAATAGTTAGAGGAAGAAGATAACCATAAGAGCAAACTAGTCTGTAGTTTACTTCTTAGGATTCCTATATCCGTTCGATTTTGTGGGTTTTCAATAAAACCAAACCATAACCGATTGCATTATACAACCTGTTTCCGATTTCATGCAACCTAGTAGGGTTTCAAAGTTGAGATTTTTAATAGATGTAGTAGACGAAACACACTGAATCTTTAGCAGATTAGACCATTCTATTTTTGGGGCGGACAACATTCCGTTGCGGACCAAGTTTATTTCTATGTAAAAATGGTCTATTAGTTCGCGGCGGATTTCTACTATTTTTCTCGATCCACACTCTACAATAGACTAGAATTTATAAATGATAAATAGAAAGCGATTCAATCCGCGAACGGATTAGTGAAAACCGAACTAATCACCAAATTTTTAAATCCAATTTGATTTTTTCTGTCATTGTTTATTAGCCTATCCTAATGATTAAGAGGCTTTTCTAGACACATGGCAGCATGTAATTGGGTTGCTTTGTCAGACTCTTTAATCGCGTTACGACGCATGTCACACATCTAAACGGCGTTTCCAAAACAGCGTTTAGCGTCTCGACAAACAACAATCAAAATCTCCTTCCTCTGTCTCCGTCTCTCTGGTTTCCGATTTCGTGAATCCAATTTTTTTGTTTGTATGTATTCGCTTCGTCTCTCCATTGTTCTTCTTCCTCTTACGTATACGTAACCCAAATGGCGATTAGATCCTCGGGAAGAAAACTATCGTTTGAGATTCTCAGCCGAAGCAGCTCCTTTGAGAATGATGATACATCAATTCGCCGATCCAGTTCAGATCCAATCACCGGAAACGACGCTTCTGAATCACCTAGAGACTACGGGAAACGAAAGAGATCGAAGAAGAAGAAGAAGAACAACAACAACAAAGTCGAGACTATTCTAGAGAATGGTGATTCTCATTCAACGATCGTCACCGGTGACTTTGGAGAGACTACAACGATGTTTGAGAACAGATTGAATTACTATGGCGGTGGTGGTGGTGGTAGTGGTAGTGGTGGTTGTGTTGTGACGCTATTAGATGGACAAACTGTTCATCATAATGGGTTCAATTTTGGTGAGTTAAGGCAGAGGAATGTTAATGGGAGTGTTGATGGGAGTAATGATGAGCGGTGGTCTGATACTATGAGTTCTGATAAGAAGTTATATATGGAGGAGACTAGTGTGGAGCTAAGCTCTTCTGAGAATCCACCGTTTCAAGAAGTGCAGCATCAGTTTCCAAGAAGTGAGGTTAATGGGAATGTGGTAAGGAGATTAGATACAGAAGCTTCTTTGGATTGGAAACAGCTTGTGGCTGATGATCCTGATTGTAAGTTTTAAACTTTTTTACTTTGGAGTGGTTTTTGTGGTGGTGAGAGGCTTTTGATAATGAATGATGAGATGGTTTGGATTGTTGTTTATGTACAATGATGTTTAGTATTGTTTGTCATCAGTTCTTTCTGCTGAGACGAGGTCACCTATGAAATACTTTATGGAGGAAATTTATGGTGGGATTTCATTACGGAGCACAACGACTCCTGGGAATGATATTGAACGCGAAAGGATATATGATACGATCTTCCGTTTGCCGTGGCGATGTGAAGTGGTAAATATGGCTTTCCTCTTCTTTGACAGAATGGATATTTTTAAGTTGGCTAGGTGTGTTATTTGTGTATCTCTCTGCTGATAAGTTTGTATGGGTGGCGATGGAAATCTACCCGTTATGTGATTGTAAAGGGCTACCTAAATGAGGGTTCAATGTATATATATGTATGCTTCTGTTTTGTGATTTACACAGAGGTTTTTCACATTGTAAAGAATTTTAATGCAGCTTATAGATACTGGCTTTTTTGTCTGCGTCAACTCATTTCTGTCATTGTTGACAGTCATGCCAATAAGAGTCCTGCTGATATTTATGGATGCAATTAAGAACAGGTGAGTTATTTTTAGATTCTCTGTTGATAATAACACGCATAATATTGCTATAAACTAGATTTCATCACCAAATTGTGCATCTTTGAAGCAAGTGTAACATGCCTTGATCATACTATTCTCTATACACATGATTCTGCTATTCCCATTGTGAGAAAGTAACTTAATAATATTTGTGGCAGGCAGTTCAGGAGGCCCTCCTCATCGGAGTTGTCTGATCTTGCTTGTTTTCTAGTTTTGGCTACTGGTACCATTCTTCTCGGGAGAACAGGTGTGGTAAAAATGCTCTTCATTTGCTTAAGCTTGTAATATATGTTATGCCTAATCTATCACAACATCTGCAGTGGTACAATGGGTTGCATAGAGCATTACATAATTTATTAATTATTATATGGACATGCTCAGCTCATCAAAGTGATGAGAAAATGGATTCTCAAACCGTTCCCTTATGTGTTTTTGCTTTGTTTCTACAGATATCAGCCTAATTTACCACATGATTCGTGGTCAAAGTACCATAAAACTCTATGTGGTTTATAATATCTTAGAGGTAATGTAAACACCCTTTTTAGATGATTTCTTTCTGCTCTGAATTTTCACGTTCATTTCACTTTTTTCCTTGTATCTCTTGCATGGTTTAGTTGGTTTGTATTTGTCCTTTCGCTGCACACTTTTCTGTCCTGTTTACCTTATTCTCTATTTAACTGGTATTAACACATATGTATTGTATTTCAGATATTTGATAGACTATGTCAAAGTTTTTGTGGAGATGTATTCGGGGCCCTATTTAGTTCTGCAAAGGGACTGGCGATTTCCCCTCCTGAGAAACTGAGATTTTCAACTTGGAGATTTGTTTCTGACCTAGCATTAACTATGGCTGCCTCAAATATCCTTACAACTTGCTTGCTAGTTTGATTTCTGCTAAGTACTTCCACATGTTTATTCTGTTGTGCCCTTAACTGTCTTCACTTGTCCATTCATTCATTTTATTAGCTCAGGCAATTACCCTGTCAACTTGTATTGTTGCTCACAACAATGCCTTGTTGGCCCTTCTGGTGTCAAATAACTTTGCTGAGATCAAGAGCAGTGTCTTTAAGCGTTTCAGCAAGGACAACATTCATGGTCTAGTATATGCGGGTAAGCTTTTACTCCGTGCCGGTAGAATCTTGTGCCTTGAATACTAGGCCTCCTATGGCTCTGATCTTTAGCTTAGTACTTAAAACATTTTCAATCACCTTTCAAAATGGGATCTGACTGAGACTGTAATTCCAACTGTTAGCTTTGGTTTTGATTGGTATGTTCTGTTTCCCTTACTATTTCTCTACCAGATTCAATAGAGAGATTCCACATATCGGCGTTCTTGGTGTCTGTTTTGGCTCAAAATATTCTCGAGTCTGAAGGTGCATGGTTTGGAAACTTTATCTACGTAAGTGTACATAATTCTCTGGTAGTTCAAAATTTTGTACAAGACTCTTTCCAGGTTGCTCATAAGTAATTTTACTTGGACTCTGCAGAATGCTACTACGGTCTTCTTCTGTGAGATGATGATAGACATCATCAAGCATTCATTTCTTGCCAAGTTCAATGACATCAAACCTATAGCGTACTCTGAGTTTCTTCAAGCCCTCTGCGAGCAGGTATGGACCATACAGCCTTTCTCTCTCTCGTGCTGTTCCATTGGCCCTATAAATGCCATTGCTGCGTCAGGTATTGTATATCTTACATTCATTTATCTGGTAATCTTTTTTGTCAGACTTTGAACATTCGCCCGGAAGATAGAAAGACAAATCTCACCTTTGTTCCCCTTGCACCCGCTTGTGTGGTATATTTCTCTTCCCTTTTGACCTAATTACTCATTGTGATAAGTAAAAAAAAGAAGAAGCTTGGAATGATTTGAGTGTATTTGTGCCTCAGGTGATCCGAGTACTGACTCCAGTATACGCAGCACACTTGCCGTACAGTCCACTCCCATGGAGAATGTTGTGGATGGTCATCTTATTCGTCATAACATATATAATGCTCACAAGCCTCAAAGTTCTCATAGGCATGGGACTTAGGAAACATGCAACTTGGTACATTAATAGATGCCGAAGAAGAAACTCCTCCCATCTCCACAATGATTAGGCCGACTCGAAAAGAAAAAAAAAAAGAAAAAGGATCATGTTTGTGATCTTATAATACGTGTTTAATATTCGATGAAGCAATTTTGTTGTGGTTAGGCATACATACATATGTACAAAGAAAGAGAGACCTCATGGATCATTTAGCAAAAGCCATCACAAGACAAAAAAATAGCCATTACTCTTTTTGTTCTCTTCCTTTTTTTTTTCTTTGTTCACATGAAAAATCTTTTGCAATGTGAATCACTAAAAAAAAAAACTCAAAACGTACTTAAATAAATAATTTGTCACTGGTGAGACTCAAAAAGGACTTGAATATTGAAATCCTCCATATGCTCTATACTTTACGCGGACTCGAGATTTTTGGCTCTTGAGAGAATTATTTCGACAATGTCGGTAACGGTAAGCATTCTCGATTCTCGGCCATTTTTGCTGGTGTGGTTCTTAGATTCGGCTTTGCTTTGGATCCTTTTTTTCGCTATTTATAGATCTAGTTAGAAAGGAGTTACATGCTTTTGTTCTCGCTAATTAGTGATAGGATTTTGTGGCTAATCCGTGGATAAAATCACTGTTCCTTAGATTCTGTGATTTTGATATATGAAGTCTGAGAGATCTCTCTTTACTGTGTCGGTGTTATAACCAAAAAAAAAAAACAGATAAACTTTTCGTTTCTCGATTTTTTTTTTTTTTTTAAATCTACAGTTTCCAGATTTCTCTGTTCAATGTCAATTGAAGTAATGGCTTTGGATGAATTATTTCAAATAAATTGAGAATGGGTGTATTGATCTCTCCACAGGGTGCTTTCATTGATTCGGATCAAACTCAGAACTACATTCTAATGGATTCACAGTCAACTGTCTCCGGTGTAAGCAACCAACATTTATCAAAGTTTCATCTTCACTGTGTTGACAAAGGCTTTCCATTTCTCAATTTTCTGAGTAAAAAAAAATTGAGATTATCTTTGTATATAGTTGTGGGTGAAATGTTCCAATCGATTGATTGATTTTTGTGCAGGTGAAAACTGTGAAGATAAGCAATGTTTCACTACTTGTTTCTAAGAAAGATGTTAAAGAGTTCTTTTCTTTCTCTGGTGACATTCAGTTCGTCGAGATGCGAAGGTCTGATTGTAAATTATCTCCTTGTTAAAGATCATTCATCGTTACCAACATCTAATGTTTTACTTGTATCACAGTGAGACACAAGAAAGTCAAGCTGCTTATGTTACTTTTAAGGATCCTCAAGGCGCAGAAACTGCAATGCTCTTAACGGTATTTCTTACGCCATATGCATCACTCCGTATATAATATGGATAGGGCCGGTCCTGAAATTTTGGAGGCCAAAAACAATTGCTTTGCCTTGCTTACAGTTTAAAATGTTTTCTCCAGGGAGCGGTCATTGCAGATCTTCGTGTTAGTATTACTCCTGCTGTTAACTACGAGCTGCCACCAGAAGCCCTTGCACTTGACTCGGTAAAGCCCGAAAACTCTTTGATTTATTCTTTAATTCTCTCGGTTTTCATGTTGTCTCCTCTGTGTAGCAGGAAAGTTCATTTAACGGTTTCACTGTCAAGAAAGCTGAAGATGTGGTGAACATCATGGTGGGAAGGGGTTATGCTCTTGGAAAAGACGCCATGGAGAAAGCCAAAGCATTTGACGACAGACACAATTTGATCTCAAACGCTTCAGCAACCATTGCTTCGCTTGACGATAAGATGGGTCTGAGCGAAAAGCTAAGCATAGGAACTACTGTGGTGAATGAGAAGTTGAGAGATATCGATGAACGTTATCAAGTGAGGGAGATAACGAAATCTGCTTTAGCAGCTGCAGAAGAGACAGCAATCACTGCAAGAACGGCTTTAATGGCGAACCCTTATGTATCAAGTGGAGCTTCGTGGTTTTCAAACGCGTTTGGCGCAGTGACAAAGGCGGTTAAAGAGAAAGTTGAGAATGGAGGAGAGGGAAGAAAGGAAATCATCACACTTGATCCCTCTTCACCTAAAGATCCTGCTGTAGTTCCTGTTAAACTTGGTTGATGCAGATCTCATCAAACCAATCGGTTCTCGACTAAATTCTTTGATAGGTTTGTTGTTCATATATATGCTTTCGTATGCTAAAGAAAAGATAAACATACATAAACCATAAAAGGTGTTGTTACATTCAGACAGCATTTGTTCCTCAAAAGAGATTATTAAAATTCAAGCAAAATAGCAAATGACTTGCAAGACAATGAGAAACTGGTCTCAAGAACTGAGTTGAAGAAACCTCTGTGCCATTGGATGCGTAGCGTGTGAAAGCTCACTCGGTTTCAGAACTTCAACAATCTCTCCGTCGACAATAAGACAAACAATATCAGCAACTTTCTGAATCTGCTTGATACTGTGAGAAACAATCACAGTAGTAATCCCTCTCTGCTTCTTAAGTTTCACTATAACATCCTCAATGTTCTCTGTCGATATTGGATCAAGAGCACTTGTTGGTTCATCCAGCAGCAACACCTCAGGCTCATTAGCTAGAGTCCTTGCAAGTGCTACTCGTTGAGCTTGACCCACAGATAACTCTGCACCAGTCTTCTTAGCAAAAGAAGCATCAAGGTCTGCAAGACTTAGCAGCTTATAAACCTCTTCGTCACTTAGCTTCTCTCCTCTCAAATTCGGACCATATCTCACATTATCCGCAACAGTCCCTGTGACCAACCACACATTATCTTCTTCTTTAATCACAATCAAACCTATGAAACTAGAGGCTAATCAAATCCCAAATTTAACATTACCTTGAAAAAGAACAGGAAGCTGAAAAAGCATTCCAACTCTACGACGAAGAGCAATAACATCAACGTTCGTTATATCTTCACCGTCCAAGAACACAGTTGACTCCGGTGGCTCCCAAAGACGATTCAGAGATCTCAAAAACGTTGACTTTCCACTTCCACTAGGTCCAATCACACCAACGATCATACCTTTTGGTATATCCACCGTAACTCCTTTCAAGATCCGAGATCCATCATCAGCGACTCGGGTCAGATCTTGTACCCGAATCTTTGGTTCTGAACCAGACACAACAACGTCCACAAGATGCTCTCGTAACCCATCGGATTCATTAGACCAAAGTGATGGCATCGCCTTTAAAGTTTTCAACTTTCTTTGATCAAAACACTTGACGAAAAGATTTGTGTCCGTATATGACCACAATAAGAATCAGTCAATTAATAGTTGACAATTTTATCTATTCTTACACCAATCACATTAGTGGCCAAATTTTAGGACAAATCCTTGACATTTACATAACTCAATTTTTTACCGTTTAAAGATTCAAAACTCAATTTTTAAGGAATCTTCTCAAGATTAGATTAAATCTTCAATTAATTTTTTCAGCATATAGAAAGCTCAGGAGAACGAATGTTTTATTTTTTAACATCACCACTGAAACGCTACCGTTTTTGGGCCTATGCCTTCTCTTGGACCATTGGGCCTAACCTCGTGGGACGGTACGCAATGTCCGTAGACATGACCACGGTTACTAAAGTAATATGGGCCAAGAACCGAGCCTGCACACTATACTTGCTTTACTAACACCATTTCTATATACATATGCTATGAGTGAAAGACGCTGTTGTTGGACTTGATGCACTCTCACTACACTCAATAAGGTGATCCATACATTTTAATTTCAAAATTATTGGCAGGAAATGGATTATGGTTTTTACTGATTTAAGATGTTACTAATTAACTACCAAAACAAAGCACATATGTTATCATCCCTCAACTAAAAACTCGTGGCCTTAATTCACATTCTCATTATTTTTTTCATATATAGTCCTCATGTAAGTAAGTCCTAGCTAATTTTGCTGAAACCACTCTCATATATATAATTTTCGTAATATTTTTAGAAAATAGAAAGAAAATATAATTTAGAAGCTATATATAAAGTTTGTTCCACTAAAGAAAACCTTAAAAGTGTAAATTAAATTGTCAGAGATAATTCATCTGTAACTCTAAAGTAACGGTGTATACTGAAGGTATAGCACAAAACTGACGTACGTTACTAGAACTATGTTCGTGAATAGAAATAAAGATGAGATTCCTTAAAGCTAGATAATAAATCAACGGCCAAGGTGAAGCATATATTCATAAGCCATCATGCATGCCTACATGAAACTACTTGTGACACTCAACAATTCCAAATACTTCGTATTTAGGAAAAAGAATGCAATCAGAAAGAAAGAAAGAAAAAACTATTGATGGTTACAAAGCTTTTGTTCACATTTCGTGGACGTACGTAACGTAATGGAGAACCAGTGAACCACAAAGCTTAAAGCATGCTTCGCACGTGTCAACAGCATCTGAACACGTTGCTGGATTCTTATTTTGTTCCTATGCATTCTGGTTTGTATATAAACGTTAACTACGTTTTTGACAAATTATAATTTTTTTTTCTTTCTTAAAACTACTTTTGTAAAGTAACAAAATCACCCACTTACACACGTACACTATCTACGTCAAGTGGAGTGCAAAACAGTTCATATCCGTGGAGGTCTAGTAATTTATTTCATTTTTTTTTTTGGTCAGAAAATTTAGAATATTCTTATCACATTATTCTTGAAATGCATTCGTTATGTTATGTGAATGCACTAGCCAAAAGAAAAATAAATGCAACTACCATCATTGGTTAATTAATATTCATGAAACTTATATCTATTAAAATCTTTATTATACGAAATGTTTCTCTGGATTCACCGCCCGTTTGTGACGAGAGAGTAGATTTCTCAAGTTTTATTGGATAAGTTTAGTGTTTTTAGAGTATAAAAAAGTTTAGAAGCACTTTACAATTAGACTCTATGGTTGGATATGACATATCTATAAAAAATATTCCGGAATCTGAATTTAGCATCTACTTATATCACATAACTCATTTATGGTACTGAAATTTAGTGGACCACAGCTAGGAAAAGAGAAGTATTGGTGTGATAAATAAAGCTCAGGGGCTCAGGAGAAGTCAGAATTCCTTAACTCATTTTAGCTAGCTTCTCTCTCTCTCTCTTTCTCCCTCTTTCTCTATAAATTGATAAGTAAATGAGTGTGAGGTAATTAAGAAACTAGAAGGAATAAGAAATGGTGGAGAGAATATGTGAAATGTGGAGAGAAATGAAAGATATAACGGCAATGGTAGTGGTTCAGATAGCTTCGGCAGGGTTAAACATATTTTTCAAGCTAGCAATGGATGATGGTATGAACCCAAGTGTACTCGTGGCCTATCGTCTCTTGTTTGCTACACTTTTCATGCTTCCTTTGTCCTTCATCTTTCAAAGGTTGCTTTTCTTTTATATAATATGGTTGTGTTTGGATGTTTTGATATTAATTAGTTGTCTCGTTTTTAACTCCATGTGATCGATTAGGAAGAAGAGGCCAGATTTTTCATGGAGGCTCATGTTATTAGCATTAATCTCAGGATTACTCGGGTACGTAATTGTCACACACACAAAAAGAAGCATCTTTTTTGTTTTGTCTTAAAGTTATATATATTAATTTCTTTGTGACTTTATCAAACCAAAATCATTTTATTCAAATGAAATCGAAAAATATATAAATTTATATGGTTTGAGTAGTGTTACACAAGTTTGATGTAAGACTGTAAAATTCTCTATAGTTGTTTTTCAAAAATACCTAGCCATTAGCTACTTAGGTAGCATTAGTTGAGGATATATTACTTCTTACCAAAATCTCTTCAACCACAAATCCACAATCCATAGTACACTGATTTTTACAACATAATCGAAGAGAGTTTACAGTTAGAATTAACTTAAAAGTTAAAACCATATATTATCAACCAGAGGTTTTACATTTTAAAAAATAAAAAAGTACCAAAACATAGAGGACAAAGTTTAAACTAGTAGCTGGAAATATTGCTTAATTAAAATGTAAAAAAAAAAAAAAAAAGTAAGTTGAAAAGAATATATATTGGGACTATAACACTTTATTAATGTGGTGATAATTGAGCTGTGTGGTGATACCGAGTATCCTAACCATTGCGGGTCTGGCTCTAACGTCAGCAACATTTACCTCTGCAGCTGGCGTTCTCACTCCATTGATCACTTTCATCTTCGCTGCACTTCTTAGGCAAGTAGCTAATTCAATTTAATTAAACCGTTTTAAAATAATATGTTTAATTATACCATTAAACAAAAGACAATCCATTTTATTGGGTGGGTTCCATACTTCCATAGGATGGAGAATGTACGGCTTGGATCGAGCGTAGGGTTGGCTAAGGTTTTTGGAACATTGTTTGGTGTTGGTGGAGCTCTTGTCTTTATATTCTATAGAGGGATAGAGATTCATCCATGGTCAACTCATGTTGACCTAGTGAGCAAACCACGTGATGCTACCACTCACCATATTTCCATCCTTGGGGCTCTTCTAGTCTTTGGTGGTAACATTTCCATCTCACTTTGGTTTTTATTGCAGGCAAGTTTTTTTTTTGTCTTCTCCATGTAAATTGTCATGTGTGTTTGTGTACTAAGGCATGTAGTTAGTTTGGTTTACAGGTTAAAATAAGCAAACAATTTGGAGGGCCTTATTGGAACGCGACACTAATGAACATGATGGGAAGCGTAGTGGCTATGCTTGTCGCTCTTTGCTGGAAACGCGATTTGAAGGAATGGAGATTAGGATGGAATATAAGACTCTTAACCATTGCTTATGCGGTAAAATATTAGTCCATCCATTATTAAGTATATATGTCTTGTTGTGTATATTACAAATTTGTAAGATTCATTGAAGTTAATTACCTTTAAAACATATGTTTTGATGTTGTCCATTTCAGGCAATTGTGATTTCCGGGATGGTGGTAGCAGTCAACGCATGGTGCGTCGAGTCTAGAGGGCCGTTATTTGTATCGGTATTTAGCCCTATAGGACTTGTGATCGTAACTCTTGTTGGATCATTAGTTCTAGATGAAACACTTCATTTGGGGAGGTACAAACTCATGTATATTGTGTTGTTTTGTGGAGATGGATTTGGTGTATGTATGTATGTATATAATGGTTTATCTTTTACTTGGCGACATTACAGCATAGTTGGTACAGTGATTATCGTTGGAGGATTATATCTTGTGCTATGGGGTAAAAACAAGGAAATGAAGAGTATCCCAACGACCTCGAATCATATTGAAACAAATAAGACTAGCAAAGACATCACACTCAACAATCTCCCCACATTAAGTACAAATGTCCCTTGATTCCATTTACAAATCAACCATCATTTATATATGTTCGTATTTTTTATTTAGACTCATTATATATTTGATCAAGTGAGTGTTAACAGTATTATTCTAACTAACGATGATTTCTTGAACCATTTATGTAAGTTATTATGTGCTTTAACCTTTGTACTACAACATCCAGAGAACTTCATATCATCATATGTATGTTACATGGATTATTTTTTACGAGCAATACAAAAATATATAAAATATTATTCTAAGTTTCTAACTAACAATGATTTCTTGAACTATGTATGTAAGTTATTTTGTGCCTTTGACCTTTGTACTACCACATCCAAAACTTCATATGTTCGGATGTTGCATGGGTTATTTTTCTTGATGTTGGTTCTAAATAATTTCAGCTGTGAGGTCAAAATATTTTTACTATGAACAAATCTTTTAATTTAAATTAGGGAACTTAATTTATATATTTTAATCTTTAGTTAGAACGTTGTCGTGTTCGAATACTCTAATTTCACATGCTAAAAAACAACCATGTTTTACCTTTATGATAATTTGTTCGATTTCACTAATTACAATGGATGTCTTAAAAATAAAATTAAAAATTACATGAATTTAACCGTAGATAGTGTCCTCTATAAAATGGTCGTACCTTTTTGATGGGTTGATTTCTAAATTTCATAAAACGAATTGGCTGGAGAAAGAAATCTTCAAAAGGCTAAAAGGAAGAACAAAGTCGAAGTTTGTTTGGTCGTCGTATAATGCAAGCAAGACAAAGGATACATGAACAAATAGGTTGGAATGGGCCAATAATGGGCCGCTCAAATAACTATCCTCTCTACTAAACCTAAACCCTTTCTTGTAATTGATTCTCCAAGCATCCTTATGAATCTTTGATTCGTACAAGACAAATCACCAAAAGATTCGCAAGTTGACATAGCAGAGAACATACGACACCGTCCTAGACAAAAAAAAGGAATAACTCAATTCATTCGTATAGGCTTTGTCTTGCCTCTTCTTAAAAACATGTACACGTGTTTAAGTATAAATGCATATATCTAGATTCTACCAACAAAAAATTAAAAAGATTGGAAACATGACATCTGCGTATCGTCCAAGAGTTATTGTGAATGGAACAAGAAGAACAAGAACGTTCCATTACTTCTATTGTCGTCATTGTAGCCGTACCATTAGGCTAAGAAGCTTTGGTCTATATGGTCCTATATGTCCTTTCTGTTCTAGAGAGATCAATCTTCACGATGAGCTTGACATTATGAGGCCAAGCCGACCTTATTGGGATACCGATACCGATTGGATCACTCTCCATCTTATCAACGCACCAAGAAGTAACCGGTTCAATCGTGATGATCTAGTTTATAATACCGACGAGGAATTCGCTGATGTTATGCCTAGTGTACAGATAGGTCCACCACCAGCCTCGCAATCCGCCATCGAGGCTTTAAGGAAGGTGACAATCACGGAGGAAGATTTGGTGAAAGAGAAAGTTTGTGCGATATGCAAGGAGGAATTTGAAGTTGGAGAGGAAGGAAAAGAATTGAAATGCTTGCATTTGTATCATTCAAGCTGCATTGTGTCTTGGTTGAACATTCACAACACTTGTCCCATTTGTCGCTTTGAGGTTAACTTAGGTGTTTCCGAATGTAACGTAGATGAAGGAGGGTCTCACCACGTCGACAATGATCGATCAAATCGGTTTCGGACTCGAGTTTGTTCTTTGTGGCCTCTCCGAATGATGATTGATTGGGTACATAATCTCATAGGTAAGATTCCACATCCCGATATAACTTTCATGGCTTTCCTATTATGTTTTTACGTTTTTTAACTATGATATTTAACTCTTAATTAAAAATATATATAATTTCGCAGATATATGAATAACAAACTCTTGACAAAAAAAAAATGAAAGAATTGCAAACAAGAATGTATGAAACTAGGAATATTGACTACATATTAAGTTAATTATGAGACAGAGAGAGGAGAAGAAACAAAAATAAAAAAGATAAGATAAAAAGGTAAAACAAAAACTATATAAAGAGGCAAAGATGGTGAAAAGGCTAGAATCGGCGTTTATGGAACATTTCATGAAACAAAACTTTGGCATTAACAAAACTATATATGCAATAATTATCTTTTATTCATTTGTTAACTTGTAACAAAACATGTAAATAAAAAATCTTGGCAAAATCTTGCTTTGTCTCCCTCTCTTTGTTTCTTTCTCTCTCGTGATCATTGAAGACATTTTAGTTGGTACGGTTTGAATACCCTCACCAACCCTTTTTATTTGCCGGTTATCTTATTTTTGGTCTGATTTTGTAAAGTCGGGTTTGTGCCTTCTCGGTTTGGTTTTCTGTAACCTCCATGGACTTCTCTACTAAAGACTTGGGACGAGTCTTGTTGTACCTTCTTTTATTCTCATGCATTCAATAGAAAATCTCTTATCAAAAGAAAGCTTGGTGATAGAATTTTTAGGTGGGTGATCAATATACTCGATGGAATAAGACAAAAGTGACAATGAATACGAAAAAGACAACACACTCGAAGCCCCATCACAAAATCAAGATATCGTATCTAATCATATAATCATCATCCATCCATCACTCAAGTTGTATTATAATAATAATTTCCATACTCATATTAATACTTGCCTCCACCTTGATGTTCTTTACAACACAACAAATATAATCATCAACCATATAAAAGAGGAAAAAAAAATGGTGAATACGAAAAGTGCTCTTTTGTTTTCCATGCATGGTCTTCATGGCATCATTATCATCTCTTTCCCACGCACTTATACTTAACGGCCTCCAAATTAACGCCGTCCAAGTAATTGGTGTCTTGCGTTGTTCCCTTAACGGAAACCAATACGCACCTCCACTCATTGGCATCACCGTTCACTTAGTTTGCGACGGCTCAAGCACTGACTTAGCCCAAGCTGTCACAGATCAATACGGATCATTCAACATCATGCTAAGACTCCTGAACGTAGCTAACTTTGACCTACAAAGATGCTGCATTAGGGTTAACCTTCCGGTGGCCTCATGCTCTGTCTTCCCGTCCATTGGTTACCTCACAGGCTCACTGGGCTTACTTAGAGTCATCCAGTCAACTCTTGGAAATGTAGCCTGTATAGCCCTGAGTGGACCTATACGTATAAATCTTTGATGGTCTATTGACACGTACGCTCTCGTGGTTGCTTGCATGAATTTTCTTTTAAGTTTTATTTGCATGTATGTTGTAATCTATCGTTGTTGGTCAAAACAAAAATAAGCGATGCATATGCACCAGTCACGACACCATGAGCTCTCTTTTGTAACACTTCTTTGTTTTATCATAAATATATATATATATATATGTATTGTACCCGACGGAATAAAATTTGTTAATTCAGTATTTGCTTATTTTCTTTTTTAAAATTTGATGTGTTTAGTTAAATTTGTATTTCGTGTGATTGTCATGATTGTGGAATGAAATCACAAGTTAACCATTTCTGGACCTATTAGTTTTAAAAAAAAAATCCAAACAAAAACATTTTATTAAACCGTCGTCTTCATCATTTTTTTTTTGAAAATTATATTAAATTAGATTTAAAAGAAACATATCATTTTTACAATTTGTGCATCGTTTGGTTGAAATTTAAGAACTTAGATACAAAAAAAACCGTTGAAGCTATAAGAGTTTAACTTTTAACTTTAAGAATTTTGTTGTTGTATAGCTACGTCATTTGCGACAGCTAAAAATTGTAACATAAAATTACTACAAATACAAATTGATACACATTAAAGATCAGAAATTTTTTTGTTCATATTATAAAAATTTGATATACTAAAAAATTTGTTAGTATATGTAGCTAATTAGTTTTAATACTTCACCAAACTTATAATCATACCAAACTTGCAACAAATAGATGGTAAAATAAATAAATTCGAAATTTTTGTAGCAAGAAATATTGATTATCGATCCTCCCCAGACGCAGTTTCGCTCTCTCACTCCTGTGGCCACCTGGGAATTTACCTGCGGACTTGCTCAGGCGCCCCAGACCACCAGTTTATCAGAGGGCCCTTAAGTGGAGGCTTAAAAATCCCTGTGACGCGGGCTTAGGCCCAGTGGGCTAGTCAGATCACTGTGTGGTCTGGATACTGGGTTATCAAAAAAAAAAAGAAATATTGATTATTTCAAAAACTAGTATTTGTAACAAAATAGATGAATTATGACAACAGATCTCAGATGACAAATGCCCAATCATCATCAATGTGACCAACCCAATTAAACCAATCTCAAAAATCTTGGAACTAAAAAACAATGAAGACTCGGCCCAATAAACAGGCCCAATAAACCCAACATGTTCCTAACCTCACGCGCGTATATCGGAATCGCCGATGCCTCTCCTCTTCAATCTCAAAATTTCAAAATCACTTTTCTAATTTTAATTTGGGTCAAGCAATTCAAAATCACAGCAAAATAAAATTCAAATTCAAAATCTATATTAAATTCTCATCTAGGGTTTCTGATTAAACAGGCGAAGAAGATCCAAAATTTACTACAATGGTGAGAATTTCTCAATTTCTCAAAACCCTAATTTTTCTTTTGTGGGATTGTGTTGATTCCTGAATTTGTATAACTGATTGATGATCAGGGAGGTGAAGGAGAAGATCTAGAGCCACTTTTTGATTATCGTCGTGTTCAGCCAGCGAATTTCGTTTGTATTGATGGTGAGTTTCACTTATTTTGATTTGGTGACTGAGAGCGTGAGAGTGATAAAGATGACTTCTTTCTTATTGCTCTGTCTCACTTTGAAATCTTGTAGACGATGATGATGATGTTGCCTCGAAGACGCCGGTTCCGAAGAAAGCGAAAACTTCACAAACAGTAAGAAGAATTGATCTTTATGATTGGTTGTCTCATTGAGCTCCTTTGTGTCAGCCTGTAAAGAGTTTAAAGTTTGTTCTTTGATTTCTGTTGTAATAGACGAATCAATGTCAATGAAGGAACAGTTTTTGGTTATGTCTTTCACAATTCATAGTTTGAATCTATCATCACTCCTTTTGGAATTTGAATCATATTGATTTACTTTTTATATAGGTTGAGAAGTTAGATGATGATGTGAAAGTGATTGAAGTGGCGGGTGATGACGATTGGTTGCTTCCTCCGCCAAAGGTTATCTTCGACAAAAACAAAGAATCTGTTGAAGATTCAACTATTAAAGCATTGAGGTAATTTTGTATGTCAAGAGTATTTCTCATCTCTAGGCTTCCCCTGTTGCTATTAGAAGCTACGATTTGTCAAACTTATGACTCTGCTAATTTAAGCGTAGTATTTGACTATTTGTTAATGCACCCTGATGATATGATTTCGATGACTGTAATGTCATTTGCTTTTACTTTGTTTTTGCTATCCTGAAAGAGTCCCATTGTTACAATTTGATTATAAATTCCTAAATGAAATATGTAATGTAGGTCGAAGAAGATGGAGCTCATGTCATTTACAAAAACTGTAGCAGATGTGATGCAGGAAGTCGAGGAGTCTGCTAAAAGGGAAGTTGAAGAATCTCGCAATCCACCTTCAGAGGCTGCTGCTCAGTTACCACCAGAGCCTACGAATGACAGGGCCAAGATTGTCTTAACAATACAGGACAAAGATGGACAGAAGACATTCCGGGTGTTTGCGGTAAGTTTTTTCACTGCTTGCCACTTACTATACAACCTTCCATCAACAATAAGCTTACTATCCAAAATTTGTATGTGGGATAAGTAGAGATAAGAATTAGCTGTTATGTCACCTTCGTTAACATCCAGATAGCTAGATATTTTGAACTTTCTAGGAAAGCAGGAGTATAAAATACAAGAAATCTTTGAATGGGGTTGAGTATTTGAGACGTGTGTTAGATAGAGTCTTCGAGGATTCGTTGACAGATCTTTAGAAAAATCTCTTTCTGTTGCTTGCTCTTTGTGTTACAATGAGCGGCTCATTAATAGATATGCATATTCTGTTAAAGCTTGTAAAATATGAGATGCCTTTGTAATATTGTATACTGATATTGATTTGGTATTTACCATTTTCTTGTAGGATGAGAAGTTTGAGCGGGTTATCAAACTGTATACGGATAAAGTTAAGCTTGACCCGCAAAATCTTGTATTTATATTTGACGGTGATAAGATTGATCCGTCGACCACTCCTTCTCAACTTGACATGGAGGATCATGATATGATTGAAGTACACACCAAACAAAGATGACAAACAGGTAACTGATGAAGTCCTCAACTTTTTATGGGTCTCGTCGTGATACAATGATGCTCATTATCTTTGATTGAATTCAAGTCAGGCGCTTATCGGATTTGGCGGTGAAGCTCAAAGCGTCTGCCAAATCTGGAATGTCGATCCGTTCAACCTTTTGCGTAAACCAGAGTTTTTTGTACATCAACAAGGGTATGAAAGGGATCTCTGCTAACACTGGTTTTGTATCTGTGACCTTTCTCATATTATCGGAATTTTTTCTTTCGTTCTTTCAATCTTTCTTTTATCGATTGGATAGTAGTGTGTAATATATAAGATAAATCAAACCATTTTGATTTTAACTAAATCAAAGAAATCCAATCTGAAAAACCCAACTATACTTTTGTTTGCTTGGAATCGTTATGCGTTCTCTTTATCCTGAGAAACTAAATCAGAATCAAGTTTAGTTGTGAAAAATAATCAAAACCAAGTTTAGTATGAAACGGATATATGTAGTTTTGTTTGGTCCGAAGTTAGCTACGACGTGGCTTGTGCTTATTGGTTAGGAAAAGGTAAGCTTAGAGTTAGAGATGATGGGTCGTGAAAGAAGAAGCTGTCACAGTGGTACATACGTCCGTGGCTTCCCCATATCTCACGTGCATACGGATAACGTAATCACCAATTTTCTACGTCCCCACCCAAATATCTACGTGGCTTTGCCACATCATCCTAACCAAACCGACGGATTTTTATCAGATAATAGGAAAAAAGCTTCTAAAACAGACAGAAGCTTTTGTCACCAATCTCTGATTTTTTTAGTTCTCTCATCGGTAAACACTTTTCCTTTCTTTTTGTTTCTTTACTTTTGTTCGATCTGTGATCTCTGATAAACTATTTTGATGTAACAGGGACGAATCTTTTATATGTTATGGATTGAGAAAATGGAAAGAGTATGTGAGTTTTGTCAAGCGTATAGAGCAGTTGTTTATTGTATAGCTGATACAGCAAATCTTTGTTTAACATGTGATGCTAAGGTTCATTCAGCTAATTCGCTTTCGGGACGACATTTACGTACTGTTTTATGTGATTCTTGTAAGAATCAGCCTTGTGTTGTTCGATGTTTTGACCATAAAATGTTTCTTTGCCATGGATGTAATGATAAGTTTCATGGTGGTGGCTCTTCTGAGCATCGTAGAAGGGATTTGAGGTGTTATACGGGTTGTCCTGCTGCTAAAGATTTCGCGGTTATGTGGGGTTTTCGAGTTATGGATGATGATGATGATGTTTCGTTAGAGCAATGTTTTCGAATGGTTAAACCTAAGGGACGATCCGAAATGAACAAGGTTTGATGCTTGTTTTGTATGTAATATATATATATATATATATATATATATATATATATATATACTTTTTGATAGCCAGGGTTAGATTTTCGGGTCGAAAGTAGACTATTCTTGTTACTTAAGGCGTCTACAGTGGCCAAGAAAGAACCACAAGATGGTGGAGCTCGTTCTCTGGCCTTAACTCATAGGGCGAGTCTTCAATCTACTCGAACAAACCACTGGACCATACGCTCTTAGTTTGATTTGTATATCTTTTTATAGCTTTGTAGATGAACAGATCTCTTTATAGCTGATGTACCAATGATTTTGATGGTTTCAGGTGCAAAGAGAAGGTGGTTTTATCTTGGAACAGATTCTTGAATTGGAGAAGGTTCAGCTGAGGGAAGAGAATGGTAGTTCTTCTGTGACAGAACAAGCTGATCCATCTCCATTGGACCTTCCGAAGAAATCTGAAGAACGGTTAATTGATCTTCCGCAGACCGGAAAAGAGCTGATTGTTGATTTTTCACACTTGTCCTCATCTTCCACACTTGGTGATTCCTTTTGGGAATGCAAAAGCCCATATAATAAGAACAATCAGGTTTGGTTTAACTATCATACATTACATAGTCTTTGTGGAAACCATTGGTTACATCACATGAGATTAGCTCTGTTTCTTCTGCAGTTGTGGCATCAAAATATACAAGACATTGGAGTTTGTGAAGATACAATCTGCAGTGATGACGACTTCCAAATACCGGACATCGATCTCACTTTCCGAAACTTTGAAGAGGAATTTGGAGCTGATCCAGAGCCAATTGCAGACAATAAGAACGTCTTCTTTGTTTCTTCCCTAGACAAATCACATGAGGTTTGAAATCTTCCATCTACTACTATAGAGTCTCCTTTTGATAACAATTTAATATTTTCTTGTTATAACCAAAGGTCTCTCTACTTTTTTGATGTGTGTTCAGATGAAGACATTTTCTTCTTCATTCAATAACCCCATATATGCACCTAAACCCGCTTCATCATCCATCTCATTCTCAAGCAGCGAAACCGATAACCCTTATAATCACACAGAGGAAGTAATCTCATTTTGTTCCCCTCTCTCTAACAATGCACGTCAAAAGGCCATCTCAAGGCTCAAGGAAAAGAAGAGAGCACGCGTGTAAGTCTTAACACCGATAATCTCAAATCCCATTAGAGAGTATATCTTAAACTCTCCATGGTTTAACTAGCATTTTTTGAATTCAGGGAGGAGAAACAAGCTTAATATGGTCCCAAGAAAATGGCAGAGTAACACAATTTCTTGCATCTCTTTGTTTATTACAATGCCTTTGTACATAAGACACTAATCTACCTCTTCATCTTTTTTACATGACTCAATTTCTTGAATGTGAAATTCATCACTTGTTGATTATTTTGTAATCACAGACAAGTTTGAACCAAATTCACCAGAATTAACTTTGTATCAGTCAAATCACAAGGTTAACTTAAACAAACAATGATGAGATAGCAACAGTGTAATGTAAATAGAAAAAACTTGTGTTACCAATAACCATAATTGGTGTTTTGATGAAATCATATTTGACAAGACTTATTAAAAAGGAGTTAGTTATAGTTGTGATAAATAAGCAAAACCTTTTTTTGCTTAAGTTCCACTATCTTGCAAGTTTTGTAAAACAAAAGACCAATCTTATCCCTTCAAAATAATCTTCAAAATCAAGCAATTAGTTGAAAGTGAAACAAATGATTCTCTTAACCACAAGCTGGGCCTTGGTTATTAGTATCTCCAGCTACTTATTATTGTCAAAAAAATGAAACACACTTCTCTTAATCATTTCTACATCAAAAATTATTTTAATATATACTCCCTCCGTTTTCGAATAGTTGTCGTTTTAGAGCATTTTTTTTGTTTTAAATTAGTTGTCGTTTTAAGGTAATAATGTAACTTATGCCAATAACTACCCAAATTACCCTCATTTAATTAAACACAAATTATTTGTAAATAATTACTTGTCATTTTTATGAGGTTAATATAGTCATTGTATACCTTTTCTTAATTTGTCTAAATACAGTTAAAACGACAACTTTAAAAAAACAGAGGGAGTAGTTTTTACATAAACACAGTGGCATAACCGTAATTATGATCAGCTAAAGAGACTTCAAGACTCTGGTTTGTTTTCTTTCTGTTAAACCGTAACAACCACCAAATTTTTCCTTTAATTTTGTATTTATTTTAAATGATTAATTTCCCTCGCGATGCGAATCCAAAAGCCTGTATAAATACTCTGTAGCTTCCTCTCTCAAGCTACTTTCTCTCTCTAACTTGAAATCTCTCTCTCTAGCCAAGAAAGATTTTCTCGGAAGTTTCTCTCGAATTTTCCCGGCGGTTTCTCTTCTACTCAAATTTTCTCGGTAAAATTTCTATCGCTTTACATGTCAATTTCTTCTCCGATTCTTGATTTTATCGTTTTGAATTTGAATCCTCTGTGAAATAGATGAGATTATCTTTCTCGGAAACTAGATCTGAGTTATTTTCCGTGATTTTGAACTTCCGATTATCATTTTCTCGACGAAATTCATTATACGGTTGTTTGATTCTTCGCGATTCCGTTTCCGATGCATAAATTTTGATTTCTTTGTGGTTGATTTGTGAAACAGAACTGTCGAAATTGTCACCGGGAAAAATGGAAAACAAAATCGCGCCGTTTAGTTACAGCGGAAGCTCCGCCGATGTAGTCGGAATCAAGAAATCCCAAGGAGATTCTTCCTGTAGCGGCGTCGTTTCGTCGTCTCTCTACTCTGATCAACTCTACAAGTCGACTCGCAACATCATGCAACAGCGTCAAGATATGGTGAATCGCGAGGCGTTGTGTTACACGCGTCTTCATGAGGCTTCGCTGGAAGCAGAAGCGCTTCGTCTAGAGAACACTGAACTCCGATCGATGAATCGTCATCTCAAGACTGAGCTCAACAGTCTCATCAGATCTTCGATCCAGAACCGATTTGATCTTCGATCTCCGCTTCGGATGCTTAGCAATCTTTCGATCGGAGGTAATGACGCCGACGAAGTGGAGAATCAGAATCAGAACCGTACGGTTAATCGTGATGATGTCAGTGATGAGAGTCCGACGAGTGTTATGGAGAATGAGGATCTGAATCGTTCTTCGCTTCCGAAGAGCATCTCTGTGAGATCTAGTGGTTACTCTAAGACGAGTCAGGGAGGTGGTGGTGCGGCTGCTCAATGTGGAAAACCTCGTGGAACCGTAACTAAGCCTGGGACTTGTGGTCAAGTCAGTACGACGGTATATTTCTTTCTTTATTTTCTTGATTACTGTGGAATCTTGATGAGATCTTGCTTAAGTTAGGACTGATTTTGGTTAAGTGATTTGGGAATTAGGTAATCATTGAGATTATTGACTGTTAACTGTTGAATCTGACCTACAATCTCACAATTCTCCTCTATGAAGAAGTGTTAAAAGTTGACTGTTCTGAATATAAGGCTGCTTGTAACGTTTGGTCGTGTAGGTTTAGATTCTTGAAAGAAACAAAAGAAGTAATAGTGAACTTTGATGCTGTTGGTCTAGTGTTTTGGTAATCATTAAGACTATAGACTTGGTTAACTATCTAACTATTGAATGTGACCTGCAAATGTGATTACAGTCTGTCTTTTTTAGATACCATAATCCTCTATTCCTCATTGGTATGGCAACAATTGACTGTTCTGAATCTATTCCTTATAACATTTGTACATTTGGTGGTGTAGTTTAAAGGTTTATCTGTTAGAGAAAGAACTGTCTTGATGCTGTTTAGATTTAGATTCTTGAGAAGAACTGTCTTGATGCTGTTTGCTTTCTCCGGAGTCTGAACTATATATATGTAAATAGTAATGGTAATGGATGAATGAATGATTGCAGGAAAAAGTTTATCTGATATTGGTCTAGATTTTTGGGAAATAGGCAATTATTGACAGTAGACTGTTGAATCTGAGCTGCATATATGACTTTATTAAAGTACCACAATCCTTTATTCCTTTGTTTTCTTTGAAGTAGAAATTGATTGTGGATATATGAATGAACGAAATGCAGCAGAAGGTGTATGTGCGAGGAGGAGGGAAGAAAGAAGATCAGGAGGAGGAGATAGAAGTGGAGGTGTACAATCAAGGGATGACAAAAACAGAGCTGTGCAACAAATGGCAAGAGACAGGGACATGCCCATATGGTGACCATTGCCAGTTCGCTCACGGCATTAAGGAACTCCGCCCAGTGATCCGCCATCCCCGTTACAAGACTGAGGTTTGCAGAATGGTTCTTGCTGGTGATAACTGTCCTTATGGTCACCGTTGCCACTTCCGCCACTCACTATCTGAGCAGGAGAAGCTCGTTGCTGCTGGTTTCAAACCCAAGTCATCCCTCAAGCTGCTTACATGACCTGTCCCTGGTTTCAAACCCAAGTCCTCCTTCTTCACGCTGCTTAGAGACCCCAAAGGTAAAGCAACAAAGGGTCTGAAACTCATACATAATAGTACAATGATGATATTGATAGCTATTGAAACGATTGGTAAAAAGTGAATAATGTGCATAAGTAAGAGCGTCCTGTAAACACTTTTGAGTCTAGTAGTTGTTTGTTTGATATTTCTTTCTCGTTTATTCTGAGACTTTAAAACCGAGAAAAGTATCACCGGTTATCCAAATGTGGTTATAAATCGAGTCTTTTGGTACTACAGAGAGTTGTGGCCATATATGTGATATATTGATATCGATATACTTTACCAATGTCACAAAACAGAGGAAGGTACAATTATTTGAACAAGGGCCGGGCTTAATTAAATATGTCTAATGCATGGCTTTCTAAAAATATTGTATATATAGAGATTTTGTAAATTTCTAAATACTGTAAGACGTTTTCAATAACCAATGTAATATGGAACGTATCTGGATTCATAAATTTTTTACCTTTGTCCCAATTGGCCAGTTCAGAAATTGTTTGACTTCCAAAAAATTAAGGAAGTTTATTAATGGTTTAAAATTTGACCAGACACATGTTTCTCACCCCATTTATATTGTTCTTGAAACAAGAATCATTATTTTGACCAAAAAGAAAAAATTGTTATTGAAATTTTAAAATATAATGCTATAAAATTTTATTGTTACAACATTTTTACGTATAGAAAATTAATTCTATATTTATTTTTTGACTAATTAATGGATCATTTTGTGTAACATAATATTTAAAACAGACGACTATTAACAATTTCTGAGTCAAATTTTATAATTGAAATTACGATAAATATATTTGGATATATATTGATTTTGGTGAATCGATAAATATCATCTTTTTAAAATACAGTCAAATGATTTCTAATATTATTAAAAACTGGTTTAGTTTTATATAATTTTAATTATTTTGTTAAGAACCTTATCATTTTAATTATAAAAATGACCGTAAAAATAAGATTTCAAAATGTATTTCTAGCCATTAGGGGTTTGATGAAATTTTGAAAAATATAAAATCAATAAATTAAATATTAGACATAATAGCCATTTTTATATAAAAAAAAAATATACATCATAGGGTCAAAGCAATAAATTAAAATCTATTGAGAAGGTAATTAACTTTTACATCTATTATTTGCAATGTATGACCTAGTTGGGTCCACTATTTATATCCATCCTTATATATATGACCATGCATTAGTATTTCTTTCTCATCTTAGTCATTTTCTCAAACCCCCAATCATATATTTTTGAGAAAATTTCAGAGAAAATGGCTAGAAGCTTAGTTCATGAATGTTTTGATGACATTTCCATTCTGCTAATCGACCATGACACTGCATCAGTCGCGTCTCTCACGACAATGCTTAAACAATTTTCAAAAAGAGGTAAAGAAATGGCCAATTTTTGTAAAACATTTTTTTTTATTTACATCGTTTATATTAATGTTGATCATTTTTTCATTTACATATCAAATTTTTCTGAATTGTTGCATTTGTTATGTTAAAATTTATTATTTGTTAAACAATTTCTGATGATTATAATTATAAATCACTAGATCTTGTGGTTTTTGCATACGGATCTATGAAATAATTTGAAGAAGTCTCAAATCACATATAAATGTATAAATCATAATCTTTGTCATAAAAATATATTTGAGACTATTTGGTCTTAGATCTCAATGATTTAATCACATATAATTTTTTTTAAATCAAAATTCGTATTCAGAAAGGTGTATGACGAAGAATAAAGTGATTTACATGTCCGTTGATTTACCTATATTTTTGTCGGATATTAAGATTTCGAGATATTCGCTGCAAAGCATACCTTCAAATTATAATATAATTAGTTATTATGTATTTATTGATCGTTTATCAAATTTATCTAACAATAAGCGTATTCATTATTATATTTTTTTTTCAGTTTTTTTTTTTATAAATGAAAAAATATAATAAAGAAAAAATTATAATTCTATGTTTTAACCATTTTTGAAATTTTATATATATCTTATATACAAATTAATGTACTAGTGATGAGCGTGGATGTGGCAAGTAAGGCTCTATCGATGATTGAAAAGCAAAAGAAGGACATCGGACTTATCATAGCCAACATTGAAATGTTTCACATCGACGCAGATTCCTTCCTCACCGTTTTGCTTCACAAAGATATTCCTCTCATATGTATGTCCATGTTCACACATCTTTCTTACCTTTACTGTTTCCACCATTTTCTTTTTCAACTAAATGATATTTGTTTTCTTCTCTATGTGAAAGTGATTAATCCAGAGATAAAGACAAAGAAACCATCTGATCTTTTGAGAAAAAGAGCGTGTTTTTCTCTAGATCAGCCAATTTCTGAAAATGACATCAAAAACATATGGCAGCACGTGTTACCTAAAAAGATTCAAGAGTCAAAGAAAATCAACATGACGATTGTAAACCAGGAGAATGTCAGAGAAAAAGATATAAATCAGATAGAAGTTTTCAGGGCAAGGCTTAAGAGACAGAGAACAAGTCAAGCTTCTTTGTTAGGAAGACAACCTTTTATCGACACATTCACAATTTCTGAAACATCCCAAAAGAGAAAAAGTAGAGCAAATGTTGAATGGAAAACTAAACCAAGTTGTCTTATTGAGATTGAGAATAAGAGAAAGGAATGGAAGAAAAGGGATAGTAGTGTTATAAGACGTAGAAGTTTATGGACTAATGAGCGTCATATGAAGTTTTTAGCTGCTATCTCCATTCTGGGTGAAAAGGGTAAGATTTATATTTCACATTTGACCAATTTGTCTCCATTTATATCAGCTTCTTACATTTCTTTATCTTGTAGATTTTCGTCCCAAATCCATATTAACGATTATGAATGACCCAAACTTGACTTATCGCCAAGTCGGTAGCCACCTACAGGTTCATATATATAATACTTAAATATTTTGATTTAATATATAGTATTTTTATCTTCTTATTATAGCGTTATTAGAATTTTTTTATTTTATAAATTTCAGAAATACAAAGCTCAAATTGAGCGTATAAACGATACATTGCCAAGAAATGAATGTAAATCGACAGATGAAACATTCGAATACCATTCGGAATACAAATATCCTTTCAAAACATCAGACTTATTGAATAATCTCATTGCAAGTAATTCTTTGTGGAATTCTTTGAGAAAGAAAAACTCTTCATCATCATCCATGAGTCAATGCAAGTATTCTTTTACGTACTATCTATTTTTTTAAAAATTCTATCATTTTGTATCGTATTGATAATAATATATTTTTATATGCAGTTTTATTTAAAAAATCTATCGCCGAAAGAAAGAAAAATATGCCAAAGTTTCATGTAGGCGGAAAATCGGATCTGAGCAATCATTCACTTGTTGGTAACATATTTAGCAAGTCATCTATAAATGTTAACTATGTTCCTTCAACCATAAGTAATAACCCACCTTACAATATTCTTTCTACCGATAATGCTAACCATACTAGTTTAGTTTCAACTAGTTTAGGTAGTGAAAACCTTCCTATCCTTTCTGGTTTACCATCAAATGTTCGTGCATCTAACACATGCGCATTTCAGATGGAATCCACAAAGATTTCCATTCCGCAATATGATCCTAATCCATTTCACCCACCTAGATCTGTCCTTGAAAATGATGTAAACCAAATAGATTTAGATTTTACATCTACACCTGATTCTTTTCATCCTTCAGCAGATCTATGCACTAGGAACTATACCATGAACCCTTTTGAAACTAATATAGACCAAATGGATTGGCTTCCATTTATAGAAAATCATAGTCATCATGAAATAAATATGAACCATATGGATTGGGATCATTCAATAGAAAATTTCATTCTTCTTGAAACTGATCTGAACATAAATTTTCCTGAAAAACATACAAACCAGATGGATTGGGTTTCTTCAGGAGAAGGTTATGTTCCTTTTGAAAATGTGAATCCCTCTAAAGTAGATATAAGCCAAATGGACATGGGTTATTCTGGAGGAAGTATTCTTCTTCAAGAGGAAACTAATACAAACCATGTGGGTTTTGTTTCTTCTGAAATACGTTATGACATCCCTCCCAAAACTGATATGACCATTCTTGAAACCAATTATTCAAACCTGGTAGATTGTGTTTTTCCTAAAGATATAAGTTCACTTGAAACTAATACCATCCAAAAGAATTTGGTTTCTTGTAAAACAAGTTTTGCTCCATTGGATAACATAGTTCCTCTTGAAGCCAATATGGAAGAGATGAACTATGTTCCTTATGATGAAAGTTGTGATGCTCCGATTGAAGATCTGATTTCTTTTGACATTAACGTCGATGAGAAGGATATGCCCTCTTGGTTGGAAGACAGTGGTTTTTCTGAAAGAGATAATATGATGAAGTCTTGCGAATATCACAATGTAGAAATTGTGAATCAAAGAGATCATTTGAAGGGAGAAGATAATTTTGAAGATTATCGTGACAACATGGATTGGATTTACGAGGTAATTAATATTTCTTAATGGTGAGGAAAAGGAGAACAACAAAATTAAAAGTAGTTTATAAACATAATTTTTTCTTTTAATATTGCATATTCATATCATAAATATACATGTATGTTGGTCACAAACAATATGTATGAGATTTTAAAATTTATTCGCATCATATGGTTGAGTTTCGATTTCTGTCAAATTGTTTTCAGTCACTAATTATAATGTAGTCAAATATTTTTAATTTGACCAAGATTAGTATATCTATTAAATTTAATTCTAAACTTATGACCAAGTAGTAAATGCTTTAATATCCTAAATTTAAAGGAATTTTAATAGTTTACTTCCAAAGTTACAATCAATCATAATTATAGTTACTAGTGTTAGTATATATTTTTGTTCAAAAAATATTATTTACTCAAAAACTAAATATTATAATATTTTTAGATAACCATTAGCAAGACATTATATTATTTAAACAAGCATTGACATGACAACATATTATCTCTAAAATAAAAATATATCTTTTGTTTCAAAGTTTTTATATAAATTTTGATTTATTTTAAAATTTTCAATAAATAGTGTACTAAAGTGTTCAAACAATTGTATTACCTATTTTGTACGTCATGCATTTCTATTTATGATTTAGTCAATCTAATCTATGCACTTATGATTATTATCAAAGTTTAATATGAGGTGTTTTAGCTATTGTTATATCGATCATAACTCTACTTTTAGTAGTTCAACGGACTCAATCCCTCATATTATTATGAAAAGTCATGATCATTCTCTTACTATTAATTTAGAATTGACAAGCTAACAACATAATGAATGTTATGTGAATGTCATATTATGAAAAGATGATATAGAGAGAGAAGATAATTTTGATAATGATAATGAGTGCATGGACTGAATTGACGAGATAAAAAATAAAAGTTATAAAAAATATCATGTGTATGATTTTCTTAAGGGTTAAGGAAATAATAACAACAAAATAATATAATTTCATAAACGTCGTATTTTTCTTTTGTATAATGTACATAATTATCATTCATATATATGTTGGGCATATACAATAAAGTTAGAGATTCCAAAAGTTATTCATCGTACCACTTCAAAATTTTATTTTCGTTAAATTGTGTGTAGTCATTAATTTCCACATTATAAACTAATCAAATACTTTTGATTTGACCAAGGTTAGTATTTCCATTAAATTCAGTTATATAGTAAATTTTTAGGCCAAATACTAAATTATCTAATGGTGTTCTTAATATCAAAAACAAATAAAATCTATTTTTTAAAATGATATCAATATTTTGTAGTGCTAAAATATACTAATTTCTCAACAAAAATTATTTTATGTAAATTTATATATTTTTCATATGACCATTAACACGGCATCTTATTTTTCAAACAAGCATTAACACGATATCATATGATCTTTGAAATAAGAAAACAAACTGATTTTTTTGCCAATAAAAAATCTTATCTTGTCTAAGTATTCATATAAATCTCGAATTTAAAAATATTATCTTGTAATAAACATAATTTACTGTATCTTTAAAAATAAGATTTTGAAACGCTTCCGCATAAATAAACTGAATCTCCTTGATTACTATAACATTAATCAAATTACTTAATATTAATAATGACTCATTTTATCATTACTAGGAAGTCTTTGGTTTTGAAATACATTAAAAGAACAGTTGGTTTTAAATAATTTTATTTTAAATATTCAACTTGATAGTTTTTTATTTGTATGTTTTTAATATCAAATTTTCATAATTTTGGACATAAATTGGATACTTTTTACAATTAAAGGTTTTGTGATTTTGTCTTTAGTTCTTCAAATCTTGCAAAAATTATTGCACAAATTCAGTTTTTATATAAAATAATTTAGCCGTCAAGTTCTTTATTTGGTCCGATAATCAAACCCAAAATCTCATATATATATATATATATATATAAAAAATATATATTGATTTAAACCGTAATATTCTAAACTTCATAGCAATATCCCAAAAATCACACAAAAAGAAAATAATGAACATTTACTAATTTAGTTTTAAAGACCAATATCAAATACGGCTCAAGTTTACAACTTGATATGTATATAAAATCTAAAACTAATTTTCTGTGGGTATTGGTGACCGAGACCTACTATAAATTGGCCGGTTAAAAGACAAGTGTGACCGACAAAGTTAGCCGTTATCCAGCTATTCCGGCAGGCATATTGATCTTTTTTTTTTTTTTTTTTTTTTTTTCAATCTGGCATATTGATCCTTTCTAAGAAAAAAAGGAACCTGAAGAATCTTTTATTCTCTTGTTTTTGATTTTTTTTTGTCTATTATTTTACTCTATAGTCTACACGACAAATCCAACAAATGGTGTTTTGATATATATCTCCAATCAAATATCTCCCAGAATTTCCCTACAAAACATTTGTAAACCACATTGAAAAAAAGAGAAGCTAGAATAATGATTAGATGGAGACACTTTGACATTTAAGTCATAAATATTAGTGTTTTCAAAAATCGAAAAAAAAAAGAGAAAAAGTAAAAAACAAATATCGTGTTATAAGGACACTTTAACGTTTCTTCACTTGACCAAAGCTCTCTAAAGATAAAGACAAAAGAGTAAAGAGAGAAGAAAGCAGAGAAAGAAAACCAAATCAATGGCGGTTTCCGTTTCAATCCTCACCGTCGTCACTGCTCTTCACCTCCTTGCTTTCGTCTTCGCCTTCGGTGCCGAGCGTCGCCGTAGCACCGTACCCATTTCATCTCTCTCTCTTACTAATTTTGTCTTTTTTCCGATTTGTGTTTTGATTCTTGTTTTTTTTTTTTCAGGCTGTGCCGGTGCCGGACCAGTACGATGAGAAGACCTTTTGTAAGTACGGAACTGAGGCATCGACGGTGTACGGTATGTCGGCGTTTGGGTTACTTCTTGTTAGCCAGGCGTTGGTTAACGGTGTTACAAAGTGTCTCTGCTTTGGAAAGGGTCTTGTTACTGGCACTTCTTACACTGTGTGGGCTATTGTCTTCTTCGTTGTTTCTTGGTAAAGTTTAATCCTTTACTCTTTAATTGAATCTTTTGTGTTTCAAGATTTGAAATTGAGTGGATTTTAAGTGTTATTTAGCTACCAAGATTTGAAATTTCTGATTAGGGGTTTTGAAGTTTGATTGAGAGTGGTATAATTTGCCTCTTTTTAGTAAAGAGAATTTGTGATTTGATTGTGTGTATTTATGGGTTTTAACTTTGAAGTGAAAAGGAAAGTTTTTTCCAACTCTTTTTGGTATTTATGGGTTTTAACTTTCAGTACAATGATAGTGGTAGGCTTGGTCATGGTCACAATTGAATATTCTATGTGTACTTGCTCCATGATATGGGATTGTTTGGTTGTACAATTTGTGATCTTACCAAACTATGTGGATTCTATAAGAAAAGAAACGACTTACAACAATAAGAACTAGTTGATTCATCTCTATGTCTGAGTAGTTTTGTGATTTTTGTCTTACTTATTGTGTAACTTCAGGGTAAGCTTTTTAGGAGCTGAGGCGTGTTTGTTGGCTGGATCAGCAAGAAACGCATACCACACTAAAAGTGAAGGCATTTACAAAGGGAAAGAGATTTCGTGTGCCGTCTTACCTGTTGGGGTCTTTGCTGCTGGAGCTGCTTTCACTCTCATGTCTTTGATTGCAACCATTCTTTACTACTTGGCTCATTCTAAGGCTGACACTGGTGGATGGGAGAAGCATCAGAACGATGGCATTAACATTGGTATGACCACTCCTTCAGAAGCTCCAAAGCAACAAAACACCGAGTTCAACAAGGTCTAAACCAGTTTCTGTTTGGTCTAATATTGGCTACGCTTTTAAAAACAGGGTAAACTATAAAAATAGTTGTTTGTTAATTGTTCATATAAAAACTTGTGTTCTCAGATGTAAGATGTGTTGTTGGCTTATGTATGTCTATGAGAAATTTGGTTTGGCTCAATCATCATCTTAGCTTCCCACTTGACCTCAACTAGAAATGCTAGCATCTGCCAAAAGCCTGTTAGCTGGTTCTGTCTGGCTCGATCCGTGTCCTCACAGAAAGTCAGTGTCAAGCCTGGTCTGGTCCGGACTGACCTGTACCAACCAACCGTTGTCACACAGGCTTAATTAGATCTGAGCTTATACAAGAAAGCAATATCGGCTCATAATGGACTGGGCCTATGAAGAGGCCCAATGATTGCATTCCTACCATTCCTAGCCTCAACTTAGGGAATATACTTGCATGAGAAAGGGTTTACCAAGAGCTATGATCAAAATGTTGATAACTTTTTGGAATACATTTTTGATCATTAGCTCAAGTTATGAAAGATTCTCTACGAGATATAAAAATATATGATCATGTAATAATAAAATGGTGAGTTTTTGCAATATGCTAAAGCCATACCTTTCCCTTTCTCTCAATTCGCTTTCTTCTTTATGAATCCAAGAACAAAACCATTCTTATCCTCAAAGTTCGGAACTATATAATAAACCTTGAATCTTAGACCTTAGCTCACAAAAAAGGCTACAGTTGTTTCAAAACCCGAAACCAAAACAATTATGGCGGTTTTTGGATACGAAATGGATGAACATAGAGCTTCTTCATCGAGAAGACGAAGATCTTTGTACCATAATCTAGGAGGAGGACGCTGTAACATACATTTTGTCTTTCTATTTTACATTAATTTTTGTTCTTTAATCTTCCCATCTTGAATGATTTGCTCTTAAAATCTTGTAGTTGCTGACATAATATTCTGGAAGAACAAGAAAGAATCAGGAACAATCTTGGCGGTATTCACATTGATATGGTTCTTGTTCGAAGTGGTTGAATATCCTTTCATTACTTTCATCTGCCAGATCCTCTTGCTATCCATTTTCATCTTCCTCATTTGGTCTTACATTGGCTCCTCACAACTAATCCAAAGGTAAAAAAACATTCACACTACTTGATACTTCTTTATGAATCAATCAACCACTACAAGAAAACAGTGTTATTGCAATGATATTTTTGCAATGATCGTATTCGTTAAAATAATGTAACAAGTTTTGCTATATTTTTGCAATGATGAGAGAACGTTACAATTTTGCGTCATTTTGCGCAGTAAACCTCCGAGTATTAATGATCTAAGGATTTCGGAATCGACTTGGAGATTCTTGTTCAACAAGATCAATTGGTTCATTATCAAATTGTATGATATCTCAAGTGGCAAAGACTTCAAACTCCTTTTTCTGGTATAAATCAATACACACATGCAATTTCATTTTAATTATTTCATACCAAGATTGTTTGGATTCTATAACCTGTGTCATTTCGTTTTAGGCCGTTGTTTCCCTATGGATATTATCAGTGGTTGGAAACTATTTCAGCTCTCTAACTCTATTATACATTGGTGAGTCTTTATGAGGTTATGTAACACACTTACTAGTTAAGACATGTACCTTTTCCAAAACTTTTTCTTTTTGGTAAAAGCCTTTTCTTTTTTAAGTATGTCTTTAATTACAAACATTTTTGGTGTTTTGGTTAAGTGTTTGTGGGTTTGGAGACAATACCGATGTTGTATGAGCAATACGAAGAAGAGCTGTCTTATGCAGCAAGTAAAAGCGGGAGGGACATGAAGAAGCTCCTAAACAAATTCAACTCCAAAGTCATTAACAAGATCCCTAAAGCTCAAGCTAAAACTAGGAGGACTATGTAACTTTTATGTATATCAATGTTCTGATATCTGCACATATTGTTACATATTAAAACTTATAATAAGTCTTTGTTCATGTAATCATGAATGTTCATCAGGAATTCAGGATTCAATGGGTACAGATATCATTATATTTTCGTTGTTTATGGAAGGTGACTCAATGTGATTAGAGCACCTCCATTGGGGATGTTCTCAAATTTGAGTATATACCAAAAAAATAAATATATTAAATTGAATGAGTATCTCAAAATGTTGAGATACCCATCTAAAAGTATCTCAAAGTATCTCATTTGAGATAGTTTTGGAAGGATATCTCAACATTTTGAGATACTCATCAATTAAAAACTATTTTTTTTACCTTTTTTTAGATACCCAAAATTTGAAAACCTCCCCAATGGAGGTGCTCTTAGAATAATCATTTTTAAAAAATTATAACTGGCCATCACTATTTATTTAAGCATGATTGGTTTCTTCAAAGTCTAGGAAATACTTCTTGTGCAATGAAAATGTTATTCTATAATTGCCATTCTGCTACGAAACTTGACTGGATTTTACTACTAACTTTAGTATAATCTTCCTCAAACATTAGCAGTAAATCGTGAAAGTTATCTTATAACTCACGTACAAAGATTTATTAGTCTAAATTTTGCTTTGAGGTCCAACTTTATTAGGGATTCAACAGATATTCATTCGTTTCATTATTAGGTACCTCTGCTTTTCTGTATATAAAACGCAATACCTCTTTGGCTTCGTCAAGGTCACTAGGGATGTTTGCTTCACATGTTGATTTCTTACTATAAAGACTCGTCAAGGCTCATCTATTTTCTTGCCTCTATTCATATTTTTTTTTTGCGTAAACCAAATTAAGTTAATATACACCTCTTGGCTCTTTGTTCGGCTTTGTTTTTTCTATTTATCGCTTATGCTTACCGCTCCATTTTACATCTTTGCATTATTCCATAATCGTTTACTGTTTATTCGCTAGATACTTCAAATCGTTTTAGGTTACTAACTAGACCCTTCAAATCGATTTTTTGAATCTTTAAAAAAAGGTCTCCAAAATATTTTCTTATATCCATACATCCGAAGTCCAAATAGTCATTTATGTATGTAATTATGTCATTTATAGTGCTACTTTCTGATTTTGTTCTACTTTATGACCACTTTTAAAACTCGCTATAAATTTATTTTGATAACTAAAAATTTTGTAATTAATTTTTTAAGACAATCAAGTGGTGAGATATGACGAATGGCCGCACACACAATTGGTAAACTAGCTTGTGACCCTAGAGTTAAACCAAAGGACAGTATAAGAAAGAGTCGTCGCATCTTTTTTTGGTGACTTCTGACTCGAAAACGCAAAACCACACATTTGAAAAATATGCCAATTACAACTCTCTTTATCAACTAGTCTCAACAATTGTCACAGAGCGATGCACAAAAACTCTTTCGATGGTAAGAGGAGAACTTGCGGTGGTAGCTGCGGGTAATGGCGAAGTCTTACTCTACATTTGGGCAGCACTTGTGACTCTCTCCGTCATAGCAACCGTGATTTTCTCATGTAGCGACGGAGCTTCTAAACCTCACACTAACGACGATGTCAATGGCTCCGCTTGCGCCGCTGGCTGCGGTGGTGGTTGTGGAGGTTAAACGGGAGGCAGTTTTTGTTCATCACTTTAGTAACATTTGAAGATAAACCATATTGGCTTCTTGCTTTAATAAAAAGTTAAAGTGTGTAGACAATGTGTAACCAATGAATGTATTATGCTTCTTGAATTTAACATTTTAGTGATCTAATTCGTTTTTGATAATTCAAGATAAAATGAATATTGTGTTTTTTCTTTTGACCATTCCAAAATTCAAATGACTACAATGGAATCGAAACTAGTGTTGTAGTAACTTTTTGTACAAACGTACCAACACACGTAATTTAATATCTTTGTTATGTTTTATTTAACTTACATACCAACAAAGAAAAAGGTTGAGCAAAACAGAACATAACAGAGGACCAATGCTCAACCAAAACAGAACATAGGAAACAAGTGTTTGTACATTTTGTGGCATCAAACTAAACTTTATACATGAAAGTAACTCGTCTTTTATTTTAAAACTACGTATGTATGTATGTATCTATGTACATATCTTAGTTTACAAAGACAGTCTATATAAACAGAAACGAGTCCAAAGCAGGAGGGTCTTAAAGAGCCACATAGCTAGAGCTTGTTTTAAGGATGAGTTTGATTTGGCGGCGCTGTTTCATATACCTGTGATGAAGATTAATGGCAGAAATCAGAATCTGTTGAATCAAATCAAAGTCAAATTGGATCAAACCTGATGATATTGCGGGATATAGGTCATGTTTTGCTGAGGCATCATTGGAACTCCTGGCGTATAATAGCCCCAAGGCGACATACATGGTGCTTGAGCTGTTGCATAAAATGGTGATGTGTAAACCGGAGTTGTTGTGTATGCCATATACATAACCTGGACCACATCCACATGTCACATAAGAATTTTATTAATCCATACTCTAAATGGATACATGTAATTAATTAAATTAGATATAGCTTAATGCTTACATCTACTTGATATTTCAAACTTTTGATGTATTCAATGATGTGTTCAAGCTTCGATGCAAGGTCGGGCTGTAGATAAACACACAAGAAACTCGATATTCGAAATTTGATATTGTATTTGACTCTAATATATATATATGAAGTATCTTTGACCTTTGGGGAACGACTAGGCATCATCCCCTGCAAAATATCTACTTTATCGTTTATCTCCTTTCGTCTTTTCTGCAAAGTTTAGATAGCAAAAATACAAATTAGCTTGGGAAGCACGTAAGAGAAGAAGGAAAAAATCATCTTCACCTTCTCCATCATCATACGATATTCCATGGAACGTTGTCGTTTAGCCATACGGTAACTTTCCTCGTCTTGCTCCTCACCGTGTTTCTCATGCTCACTGTTTTTGGTTACATCTTCCGGCTTTGAACTCGAGTGAGCACCGAATATCTCTTGCAAAGGGTTTAATTCATTATGATTTTCTGCACAAAACGAATAAATTATATTGGAAATTGAACATTGTTCTTCTTCATGAGTACCCTCTTTGTGGTTTTTTTTCTCCATTGAGGATTTTGAGTTTGTGAGAAGTGGAGAGTTAAGGAGAAACTAGTGAAGCCAAAAGCTATATATATAGGGGACTAAGGGGAGATACAAGAAGCTAGCTGCTTTTGAAAGTTGCAACAATTGAGCGGGAAGAACAATGATGATTTTGCTTCGTTCCATGGTTTTCTCTAACAATTTATTTACTCATTTTCCATTATATTATTATATTTCTGTGTTCCATATTTACACACATCCATTAGACAGAAGAAAACATTTATTTTGTTGTTTACTTCCATTTGCTTTCTCGCTCTTTCTTGAAACTCCAAGAACAGCAGGGAAACAAATAGTGTCATTCTTGTTCATAAACGGCAGTCCTTAATCTTTAGTATTATTTTTTTTTATTCTAAAGCTATCTATGGTTACAATAAATTGCATTAAAATTGAAAATAATTATTTAGTTGGTAAAGTGAACTGTAAACTCATATTTCAAGTTCGAACAAAAATTACATATTTCCATATTTAAGAATTATTTATTTTGATCGACAACAAGATAAACTTTCTATTCTATCAACACCATGCATGGACAAGACATGCAAGGGCAAGAAAATGTATCTAGTCAGAAATATTTTTGACCGGCTTAACACTGAGGAAGCTAGCTTCTGATGTCATAATTAGAACGTATGTTTGTATATATATTTGTCGAGTTACGTACTTACGTGCCACTTCAATATAGTTATACATATTTTAAACCATGCACCAAAATCTTTTCATATAAACATGTGCTGTTCATAGATCATTCTCGAAAAGCTTTGCCATTATTACCCAAAATCATTAGACCTTCTTCGTCTGATTATTTCATTGTAACGGGACGTTTCTTAAGGGATGTAGCGCAAGCTTTTGCTAGCTTTATGATCTTTCGAATAACTATCTTTTCTGTACATGTAATATTTTAATTTGGGTTATTTGTACGTATTTTTTTTTCTTAAACTGCATACTCTCCTTACTTCTTCTTAATATAAAAAAATAAAAATAAAAATAATTCAAGGATTAATTTTTAATATCGCTTATATATTATTTGGAAAGTTATAAAGAGATGATTTCATTTAAAAAAAAAAATCTGATTCTCGCACTTAAAATTTTAATAATAAAATGTTATAGTTACATGTGACCATAATGTTTGCCATAAATTATAAATTATTATTTCGTTACAAAATTTATTTCTACCTCAATATTAAATGAAAGTTTAATACTTGAATTAGTTTATTTTATCAAAACAAATTCATTAATCGATTTTATATGCATGCCTAAAAATTGCGGATCAAACATCTAATCAAACATATATATGCAGAGTTATTTTATTTTATTTTATCAAAATTTCTTACAAATTATAAACATTAACAAGATAATAATATATCACTTATGTTTATCATTCTAATAATTACAAAATTTTCCTTTATCATTCTTATTGTGTTTTATTTTAGCTATAAATACTTTATATTAACACATTTTTCATTTGTGTTCGGAACAACTAACCCTTAGGGGGGTGTATTGCATTAGGGAGTAGGGACTTTAGAATCTATAGATTTCTTCTTGGTGATTAATGTGATTGAAGTGAATTTAATATGATGTTACGCAATTGAACTAAAAACGATAACGTTGCATTATTCAAACAACCAACATTTACAAGTTTACGATAAAAATATACAACGTTACAACATGACTACATGAGTATACTCAGAACCACACACAGTACTAGTTTCAAAAACAACTCCTTAATATTAACAACAAACCACATTATTAAAGAACTTGATAGAACCGGTCTTTAATACTAAAACATGAACCTGTCTTAATTATATACATAAGCTTCTTATAATAGTTACATCGGCTTTGTCGTCGGTGGTTGATTATTGTTGTTGAATCCCTGAAAATTCTTCATTTTCAAGAAAGGAAAAATAAATAAAGCAACAATCAACAATCACAAAAATATAAACACATGAAGAAGAAAACAAATTAAAACCTGATAAGTGGGATAGGGTACAATTGGGTTGGCGTAGCCGCTAGTTTCTCCTGGTGCCGGAAAGTGATTGTAATACATCATGTAATGTGGAGGGACATAATTATAAGGATACACCCATGGTGCCGGAATATCCGTCACCATGCCCATTGGCATCATTGGACCATACATGTTTCTCCAAGAATTCTGCATTGTTAAATATTGAGTTTAGTCATGATAAATGGTTTTCTTTAATTGTTGCTCTTGTCTAATCCAGCATGTGAAAAAATGACATTCACTTAATTATCATATAACATATGATAAATTGAATTAAACAAAGCCAATGAAAAAGAAAAATTTGAAACCAAAAACAACATTTAATTTTTTTTTTGATAAACCCTAAACAACATTTAATTTTCTTTATCAAAAAAATAATATTGTTGGTTAAAAATGTTAAAGAAAGAAATTTTTTGAATTCAATACAAACCAAAATATAATTAATTAACTAAATTTGTTTTTTTATTTCATTAATATTCTTTCTTGCACCGGAGAAACCTATATGAAACCCTAAATATACATGCATGTCTTGAGATAACAACAATGTGACGATTCAGATTACTTACTTCTATCCAAAGCTGCTTCTCCCGTATAGTATCGATGATATACTGAAGGCTCGAGTCTATGTTTCTCTACAGGTTCATGCGGATTATAAATTAAAAACAAAGCAAAAAGTTGTATTAGTAAGATCAAACCCAAATTTGTTTTTCATTAGCGTTCGTTTTTACGTTTTACATGTACAAGTTAAATCGTTGTATTAAAAACAAAACGTACGATATTTTAGTTTTTGAATTAAAGACACATATGTTATAAGTTTGAAAATATTTTAATTAGGTAAATACATGCATGTATTAAGTTGTATTTATAACGATTAGATGAAAAACATAGAGGCAAAAAAAAAGTTGGTATATATGAACCTTTCCATCACAATGTGTCAACTCCTTCAACGTCTCAATTTTGCTATTAATATCTCTACGTCTCCTCTGCATGTTGAAAATCAAAATAACAAAACATTGAACAACGTGGTCATTTTCATTGAGAGACACGCATTAAACAAACAAACGTGTCCTCACCTTCTCATTGATAACGCGAGCTTCATTACCACGTGGTCTCTTACCAAGACTCTTGCTTTCTTCTTTAGCAGCCTCTTCCTTCTCCTTACCCTATATAAGAACGAACAAAGTTCGTATTAAGACATCAACTCATACATACATATATCTTTTTCTTCTTCTTCTTTTTTTTTTTTTTTTTTTTTTTTTTTTTTTTTTTTTTTTTTTTTGTGTATGTGTGGACCAATCAATATACATATCTAAAAAAACCAACTACATAATTACCTTCTCTATCGCTTTTTGTGTATATTTCTCTTGATCCTCAATAAGGTTCTGATATCCAACTTCGGCTGGAGCATTCTCTGTTCGACTCTCGTTACCGCCATATTCAAGAACCTTCCATGGCTCAGCTGGCACATCAATGGCCATCGGTCGGGCCTCATGTTCTCCATATTCAAGAACCTTCCATGGCTCAGCCGGCACATCAATTGCCATCGGTCGAACCTCCTGGCCTCCATATTCAAGAACCTTCCATGGCTCAGCCGGTTCATCAATGGTCATCAGTGTAGACATGGTCATTATCGGGCTTCTTACCACCGGATATAGACCATCTTTAGGTTCTGAGTCAGCAAAGGATTGGAAAAGTGAGGACCAAAACTCTACGGTATCTCGATCGGTGTCCATATTCATGATAGCTTACTAGCAAAGTGTGATGAAGAGTTTGTGCCAGTAGGAAGAGGTATTTATAGGAGAGGAAACAAGAGCGGGAAAGAGGGTGCTCGACTCAAACTTCTGTCGGAACTTGGATCATATTACTATAGGATTTCTATTTTGTCGCTTGAATATGTATTATATATCCATCTTGTTTTTATGTTAATTTCCTTATCCATCAGTTTGTGTTTTCGTTATTTATCCAGTATTCCCACTGTTGTTAGCTTTAATAAATTGGGAACTTGATCAATGAAATCCGATCCAAAATTATTTCTCACCAAGCTTTCAGAACGATGAGACAAATTGTATTTATAAACGATAGTTTATGTGAAATAATGTAGATAAATCAATATATTGACGAGATAAAAGATTTTATAAAGCTCTTCAAATGAATGTTTTAAGAAACATAAATTAAGTCAACTGATTTCATGAAAATAAAGAATACAAAAACAAGATGGACGTTAAATGCATATAGCTTTTTCAGAGCGAAAACCGGAAATTTAATATAAGGAATTGGAAACTTGATTAGTAAAATCCATGCTAAAACTATTTCACCCAACAAAATATTTATAAGGAATCTCACAAATACACACGAAAGTTAATACAAAAGAAAATACATACTGATTTAAAATTTAAATTTGGTTCACTAAGAAATTCATATATAAATATTACTCTCTAGTTTTAATTTAACGACACTAAATTTTATATATAAGATATGGATTTTCTAAAAGTAATAAAAATTCTAAAATAAAAATGTACTTCACAAAAAAAAAATTTATTAAAAGAGAGATATTTTGAATAGAGAACAAAATTTTGTAAAAAAGTTACGAATCTAATATATATGGAAAGTCTTATCAGTTGATTTGATTCAAGATATGTGGAGATTTGTTTTTTTTTTTAATTTCAATCTTAAATAGTATTCATTTTCAGATAAAATAATTGCTTACTAAATTTCTTATTTTATTCCTAACAATAACTAATTATAAGAATTAATGCTGACACAAAAAAAAGAAGAAGAATTAATACAATATATAACACGCTGCTATTTGCTATTTCGATGGAAAACAAGATTTTCATAGTTCTTCCGAATTGGAAATAAGAGTAACAAAAATATTATGTTAGATCATGCATTATTTCTCTTACTGAATATAGATATACTCATATACTACTAATACTAAACTATAATTTTAAATTTTTAATTAAGGACAATAATTTTTATATATCAAATATTTATGGATTTCCATAGAGTAACTAATGGTAAGATACAAATCAAACAAGTATATGAGTTTCCAAGATATATATAATAGCAATTCATACTTACAGATGTAACTATTAAAATCTAATATTAATTTAACGCAAATACCTTGTATATATCAAATATTGATAGATTTTCTAAAGGTAAATTAATTCTAAAATAAAAAGTAAACAAAGCATACGTGTTTTAAGGTGAAAATAAATTTAAATACTACAAAATAATTAAGAATAAGAAGATATTTTGGCAAATAAAAACAAAATTATGTAAAAAAATGACGTAATCCAATATATGTGGAGAGTCTTGATTTGATCCAAGATATGTGGAGATTTGTTTTTGTCTTTATTTTAGTTGAACTTTTAGAGTGTAAATGCTAAATTATCATTTTAAAATATTAATAGAATTTCTTCCTGTATTCTTTATTTTATTAGTAAAATTACTAATTAACGCTAAGAACTAATAAAATATTAAACAGGCTGCTATTTGGTATTTTCATGAAAATAAGATTTGCATACTTCTTCAGAACTGGAACTAAAATATAAGAAAAGTAGTATTTTACTGAAACATTATTGTTTCCTAATTAATATAACACTTTGAGAGTTTATTTTAGTATTATTAAAAAAGAGAGATATTTTGGATAGTTTATTAAAAAATTATTAAAAAAAAGAGATATTTTGGATAGAGAAAGAAAAAATTTAATTTTTTAATCTAATATGTACGGAGAGTCTTATCAGTTGATTTGATCCAAGATATGTGGAGATTTTTTTGTCTTTTATTTCAATTAAACTTCTACACTAAAATTCTAAATTATCATTTTCAGATATTTATAAAATTGCTTACTAAATTTCTTATTTTTATTCGTAATAATTACTCACTCTATTAATTAATGGTGCAAAAAAAGGAAAAAAGAATTAAAATAATTTTTATCAGCCTGCTATTTCCATGGAAACAAGATTTGCGTAGTTCTTCCGAACGGGAATTATTAGAGTATAACAAAAATATTATGTTAGATCATGCATTATTTTTGTTTTAATGAAAATGTTAATAAGACTATCATTTCCGAAAATACTAAAAAAATATTTTAGATACTTGATCTATATATTTTTTGATAACCAAAATATCTGATCTTTAAGCGACATATTTCAAACATAAGCTGATATAACTATTTAAGGTTACTCATTTTTTTTTTCTATTTCAAAGTGTAATCTCTATATATATGGGAATTTTATATTACAATTTTTAGTTTTTTCTCTTATGATTAACTTCTTTACTTTTGGGTTTTAAAAGGAAATTCTATAGTATTGATTGTAGTTAAAGCTTTTTACAATTAATATTTGAGATTATTCGAGCAAAGAGAATTACAACGATAGAATTTTAACTCAACGCAACTGAAAATAAGAAATATGTGTTTTTAACTGAAACAAATCTTGCCAATAAAGTAAGATTTTATAGAACAAATATAAAGATAAACAAAATGAGAGATATTTCAGGAGCTAAAGTAGTAGTTTGGTAGAAATTGTTTAAATTATTGGAAAAAAACAAATATAAAGTTACGTAATCCCATATGTACGGAGAGTCTTATCATTTGATTTGGTCCAAGATATTTGGAGATTTGTTTTTTTGTCTTTACTTAATTTAACTTTTTATGATAAAGTTAAAAAAAATATAAAAAATCTTTTTGTGATATTTAAATCTTGCAGAAATATTCGTTAAATTCAAAACACAGTTGTTGAAATTACTACTGCTAAGAAATAAGAAATAACAAAAATATTAAACATGCTGAGATTTCGGCGTATCCGAGTTCTTGATCATCCATTTTTCTTCAAATCATGGCTTGTTTTCTTTTAATTAAATCATTATTGTTTCTTGATCAAATGTTTTTCGATACATAATTGGTTTTTGTATTTCTTCATGGTTAAGAAAAATTTCTCGAAACGATTGTTGAGGGCCCCCGGGAATGCAGGGCTATTATAAGGAAGATAACAAGAACATAACAATACATTTTGGTGGTCATACTTTAATCCTATTACTAAGGATTCTAATACTATTAACTGGGATCGTTTTTCTTCAAGGTTATACACTTATACTTTTACACTAAAAGTGTAACATCATTTCATAAGCACTATTAAAAATTAAAATACCTGACGACTGTCGTTATTTAACTTGTAAAAGATAAAATCAAAATATAAAAAGTCGAGAATCAAACAAGTAGATGCATATTCAAGTGACAACAAGTATTTACACAAACAGATTATAGATATAAAGATATATTTTAGCTAATAAAGTAATAGATATTTACTTAAGAAAATTGTAAAAGATTACGTAATCCAATATATACAGAGAGTCTCATCAGTTGATTTGATCCAAGATATAAGGAGATCTGTTGTTTTTGTCTTTATTTCAATTAAACTTGGGAAGAAGAAAAATAAAATTATCATTTAAAATACTAATAGAAAATTCTTATGTATTTTACCAATGCTAAGAACTGATAAATAATACAGGGTATTTATTTTCTTCCGTATAAAACAAGATTTATAATAAAAATAGTATTTTAAACCATCTATGATTTTTCTTTATTGAAAAATGTATTGTTTCGTGAATTAAGTCTTGTAAAATTTTCCTTTTCAAATCACTGTAACACTTTGATAATTTTTATTTAATGAAAATTATGTTACTATCCCAAACTTAGGAATCCAAACACACATGTAGAGGGCCGGGGAGCAATATGATATGGATGTTTCGACTTTCGACATTAAAATATTTCAGAACAAAATAAATTTTGACGAGTCATTTTATAATTATATAAGAAGATTTTTTAGATGATATGAGATAATCTAGTAAATCTGACAAACAATACACTTTGAAAAAAGCTTTAAATAAGGAGATAGTAAATCTGATGTTTTCTCTTGAACGGTTTACACTTTTACTCTAATTAAAATGTTAAGATCGAGTGTTTTCATTTTAGAACAAAACAAAATAGCTAAGATAATTACTTTTACTAGATTTCCTTTTTTTCTTTTACTAGAAAACTAAATATAAATTTATGGTCAATTTTTTTATTTTTCTAATTCAAAATATATTCTCTCTATGCGGGTTTCATATTATCCATCAACTTTTTCATGGATTTAAATTTCAAATTCTTATGATTTTAGCTACTTCAATATTATTAATGATGGTAGTTTAAGAGCTTCTCACAAATACATACTTTATTATTGAATAGTTTAAAATTACTTCACTGAAAAAAAAGAATACTTCACTTAGGAATCAAAACGACAGAAAATGAATTTTGGGCAACTGAAACAACAGATGTACGAAATGTTCATGTGTATTCACGGGAACATATGTTTTCAGTAAAAAAATTGTAAACTAATTACCAAATGCAATGACTAAAAAAGAAAAAAAAAGTGGAGAGGTAATTTTAGCAACTAAAGCAGTAGATATTGTTTAAAAATATTGATAAAAAAATTGTATCTAAAAAAGTTACGCAGTCCAATATATATGGAGAATCTCATCAGTTGATTTGGTCCAAGATATGAAGAGATTTGTTTTTTTTGTTGTCTTTATTTTGATTAAATTATTTTAAATTAAAAAACATTCTATTTTAAAAATTTTAGCAGGAATGGTTTAATATATTCGTTAATTTGATAATACAGCTGTTGAAATAAATAATGGCAAGTAGTAAGAACTAATTAATAAATAAACATGTTGACATTTTGGTGTTTCCATGGAAAAATATATTTATATAGTTCTTGATCATCCATTAATGTTTTTTCAGATCACCTTCTGCTCCTTAAATTGTTTGAAACAAAAACTTGTTTCTTGATTAAATTCTTTACACTTCGATAAATTCTTTCGTAATTCATGGTTAAGAAATTTACCTCGAAAGGACTAATACTTTTAGTTGGTAAAGGTTTATGGTAAAAAAAAATTTCTTCTTATAAGATTGGTAAAATTGTAAAGCGACAAATCACGAATAGCAGCTGAGGTTTCGCCTGATGAAACCATACACCTGAAATGTTACAAGTTCCAACATTTTACTTCTATTATTTTTTTTTCTTATGGTCATCCAAACACATAAAAACGACGATTATAGTGACGCATTGTGCCGACTAAAACAAAAATAAAAAATTAGTGACGCATGGTAACCCATATGTATTTTTTTTGATTACGCATCATGTACAGAATCTAGTAGATTCAAACTACTTGTTTTGGTTTCGAAATAAAAGACAAAGATTGTGTTCTATGAAGGTGCCACTGCTCGACATCTAGGGTTCTAGTGTTTACCATGAAACGTTACGTGTCCTTTTATTTTTCTTAACTTTTGAGCTTTTATTCTAGTATTACATTTTGGAGTTTAGGAAACAAACGTAAAAGATTATCAACTTACGAGCCTCCTCATGACTCACCGCAACATTAGCGACACATGAATTTTACATAAAATAAATTCTCGATCATGTAGTACATTTTGGAGTTTAGGAAACGAACGTATAAGATTATAAACTTTCGAGCCCTCATGACTCACCGCAACATTAGCCACACGAATTTGAGATAAATAAATTCGATATACTATTTGGATCATGTAGTACATTTTGGAGTCTAGGAAACGAACGTATAAGACTATAAAATTACGAGCCCTCATGACTCACCGCAATATTAGCCACATGAATTTTACATAAATTCGATTGTTTATTTGTGTTTTACTGTTTTTGATCATTTCAAACGTATTTCTGTTTTCTCATGTACCGCTTCTTCAGTTGCTCACGCGCATGTTCGTTGGCTTGTAACGGCGGGAGAAATCCAATGTTGCATTTTGAGTTATCCCAATATAGAGATTTGTTATAGTTATAAATATATATGGGCCAAACAGCTGTTCCTTTGGCCTCCAATATATGCTGCTTTGTTTTATAGATATATCAAAAGGATCCAAATTAGTAACACAAGTAAGGGCTATATAAAAATATATAGTTTCTTATGTGTCAATGCTTGGTTATGTTCTCTATTGGTTGGGTTGTTGATTTCGTGAGAGGAATTTATAGTCTTGTGGAGAATTCATGCCACAAGATGAATTATTCATAATACCCAAATTTGAAATTTAGAAATTTTTGGAAAATGCGTTGTAGTGATGAATTTGAGTTCATGTTATTTGTTTGTGATTGTCAAATGCTTTCATGCTTCCTCAAGCTTAGATGAACACATCTTTTTTATTGGTGCATTGATTTGGGTGACTTATACATCCATTAATTTTTATCGTGAACATGAAACTGTAGGCACAATGACACCAAACACCATGCATAGAGCAAAAGAAAAAAGATTGAAAGAATATGCAACACCCCATCACTATGAAAGAAGGAGAGTCCCTCATCAATGAGAAGAATGAGACATAAAACTTGGTAAAGGAGATGTTGGAGGCAAAGATCATCAGATCAAGCATCATGTCATACTAAAGCCTTATTGTTTTATTGGTGAAGAAAACGGATAGAAGATGGATATTATGTGCGGACTTTAGTGCTTAAAACAAAGCAACCATCCCAAACATGTATCATATACCGATCATAGAAGAGTTGTTAGATGATTTACAGAGGACAGTCATGTTTTCCAAGTTTGATCTCAAATCTAATTACCATCAAATCATCGGGAAAGAGGTATGACGTAGAGAAAATAAATTTCAAGATCCGTGAGGACTATTATAAGTTTTTGGTGATGCCATTTCGACTCACTAATGCTACATCCACATTTAATAGTGTGATGAATGACATTTTCATACTTTACCTCAAAAAATTCTTCAAACTGGTGATAGTTATGTTAACAATTTTTTAATATTCATTGTAATAAACGCACGATAAATTTTGAAATTAGTTTATAAGCCACAAGCTTAGGTAGTTTCTCTTGTGCTCTGATGGTTTAGTCAAAAGCTATAAAATAGTCACACTTATGCAATCCAAGTAATTTTTTGTAAGGTACCATTTATACTTGATTATTATGCTAAGTACTTGTCTACATAATTTTGTTGTTAGTTTAAGGAAAAAACAACTATATATCAACGTAGAACAAATACACTGTAATATTTATGAAAAAATATTATAGATATGGGGTTGCAAATATTTGCGGTGAATAATTGTATAGTATTCTTTGTCTTAAATTTTGGTACAACATATGTAACTAATAGTTGGAGTCCAAAACTACATTCTTATCGTTCAAAATTTTTAGTTTAAACAATAAAAAATAAAGATCGAGACAAATATCTCCCGCATTGTGTCTTTTTTCTTCTCTCATTCTTTTCTGCAAACATATACACAAAAAAATAATTGCCGAACTCTGAAACTTTCACCCTCCAGCCAACACGTTTTTTTTAACGTGCTCCACAAAACATTTCTCTGAGCAGGTTTTAAGCCATCCACAAGAGAGGGGATCGATCATTGAAGAGTTGTGTGTGCATAGGTCTTATAGGTCGAAGTGGAAAAGGCACAGTAGGTTATGTTATCTCCGATGCGGTTAACAACAACACTTGCTTGTTTTAGAACCCAATCAAAACGCTCCTTAAACTCATTTTACAAAAAAAAAACAAACCAATTGTCAAGAGCTTGTTAAGCTTTATCATCCCACACAAAATCGTTCGATGATCATAAAAATTTTCAAAGAACTCTATGCAATTATTTCATTCAATTGAGCCAAGGCCTTATAAGATAAACATAAAACAACAATCATAAAAGAATGGAAGAACAGGAGATGAATGGAACAAAGAGAAGAAAATGACATGTTTTCACATAGAAAAATATACCTTATAGTATGTTACTACTTACTACCACTTCACTGGATCTCATATTCATTTTCCAATTTGAAAAAACAACCTTGGAGTAAAACAAAAACTCAAGTCTCATAAATTTTTTGGTAGAAACCGTTATGTTTTATATAAGATTAATGAGGGGAGTGATAAACTCCGAGATAAGAAATGCTTGAGTAAGTCGGGCATTATGTTATAAAACAAATTGATGAGCAACCCTTTAATATGAATGCCGTCGGGATCCTGGTACATCACCACCATGACATGATGGTATCGTAGCGATTGTATATCTCTCTAATGCAACAACTCAAGTGCTCTGAGCATGTTTGTAATTGAGGTAGATGTGATTTTTTTAGGCCTTCATACATGTTTGATATTTTCTCTAAGATGAAGCCCCATATGTTTCTTGTTCTCATACAGACAGTGATCTCCACGCCAATAATTTTGCCGACTCGCCTTCAACAATTATCAAGGTGCATTCGTCAGAATGCTCTAGACGTACTAAATCTCATCTAGATTTGGATTTGGAACGAGAACTGCACATGAACTGTTCACTATAGAAACACCAACCACGCTATCAGGTCTAGTCTTTAGCTTGCACATACTTATATTCACATTCAAGTGTTTTGAAGTCATGACCAAGATATTTCAGCTTTCCAAGAATAGTTTTCCTTTGTCCATATGGTTTAAACATCAAAAAACTTAAAGGGGTGGTTCTGGATTTTACAAACTAAGACAATATTCCATTTATGGCTTGTCATAGGTTCTCTCAAAAAGTTGACATTGTTGTAGTACTAACAATGAAATATATATATATATATATATAGACCTTAGAAACAAGCTAAGACACATTTTTGGAGTCTAGGAAATATATATATATATATATATATATATATATTGAAGTACATTTTATTTAATATTCATATATCCAAACAACTTTACAATTAATTATCTACTAGCTATATAACCAACACAATTAAAAGTTTAACATTAACTAGAAAATTTTCATATAATGTTCCACAGTTAATAATATAGATATTTAGAAGATTTTGTTAAAATTTAATATTATAATTCTTCTATCATCTTATTTGATTTTATTTTCTAAATATTTGTAATCATCATATAATAGATAAAGTTAATAAAAATCTAATTCTTTTCTTACATATATTGTGATTTCGAATTTTAGAAAACAGAAATATATTACCTAATTAATGAAAAATTAAACAGTTCAACGTTCCACAATGGCTAAAATGTTTAGACATATAAAAAGTTTGAGATGACACGGGACGAGTTATATTGCGGGACGGGTTATATGGCGGAACAGGTTTGAATCGACATTAATAAAAAATTAAAATATCATTAATCAGACGCATTAATAAAAATTTAAAATATCATTAATCAGACGCTTCAATACGGGTTAAATCCTCATTTTATTATTTTGTTAACAGTACCAATATTTCTTTTTGTTAAAATCAATATTATTAGACATGTCGAACTAAACTACTCTAATTACTCTAATTAAATTCATATAAAACAAAAATTTATAAATCCTAGTATATGTATACGATTATGAACTTACGAGCCTCATGACTCAATGCAACATTAGCCACATGAATTTTACATTTAATTTTTGGTTATGTATTTGTATTTTTACAATGATTTCAACTTTTGTGTTTTTGTTTTCTCATGTTATGCGCAAGTTCGGTGGCTTGTAACGGCGGGAGAAATCCAATGTTGCATTTGGCATTTGCATTATCCGAATATACATATTTTATATTTATAATATATGGGCTAATCACAGGCCCATTTAAGTAGATTTAATTGGTCTGATGAGGTGAATCAAACGGCGTCGTCTTGACGTAGGAAGTGAACAAATTTAGAGCGAATCGAAGATGGGATACGAACAGGACGGTACTTGTTGTCAAGCCACACAGCTATTCCTTTGGCCTCCAATATAGGCTGCTTTGTTTTTTATATATATCAAAAGCATCCAAATTAGTTAGTAATTCACAAGTAAGAAAAACTTATCAACTAAAACACAAAGGCTTAGTGAGAATATTAACCTCTTGATTAGGAAGTTTAAAGATGAAATGATCAAAGTAAATACGCGCAGCAGATGTCCCCGATATCCTTGCTTTCACCACAAATTTGTCTCCGCTCTGTTCAAAGAGATGAAATGAATATACCACAGCACATTGACATTTGACATGGCATATGTGAGGTACTAAGTTGAGGAGAAGATGGACATTATTATTACACGTAAAGGTCCAAGGAACTTCATTGTCAACTCTGAAATTGCTAAGGCTTCCCCAGAACGTGCTACTTCGTCACAGTTGATACCGATACTCTCTAGAAACTCATGTCGACCTTTAGTTAGAAAGATATCAACAAGTAACAGCTGGTTAGAATGAGATAAGAAACACATACCTCGACTCTAAACCACAAAGCCATCCACTTCCCAATATATATGCCGAAGATAAATGCAAAAATCAAGACTCTAAACTTAACGAGCAAGATCTTAATATATATCATTCTTCCAATCACATTCAGAAAATGTATGAAAAGGTTTCCAGTTATAGTCAGAAAAGGAGTAACTATTGATCATGCAGTCCAGCTTCTGTCAAGAATACGATCTGATACTTCTCTTTGACAATAGAAATAGACACAATCTCAAGCAGCAAGAGTGCAACCAAATTAAGCTAACCGAATTACTAGCAAATAACTAAGCTTAGTAGCAAGATCTTGTCACACTTAGTCTTACGATACTCTCAAGTTCAACTCAACCACATTAAAAAATGATCCAGTTGACTCAGGAAACGAGTAAGTTTGATCCTGCGGTCCAGATTCTGACAAGCATACGAACTGAAACTCCTCTTTAACAACAGAAAGGTACACATTCTTGCAAACAAACCGATTTACTCGCAAGATTCTAAACATAGTAGCAAGATCTTGACACATTTATTCCTCCAATACTCTAAAGTTCTACTCAACCACATTCACAAGTGTTCCAATTAGACACAGAAAAGGAGTAACTATTGATCAAGCACTCCAGATTCTGTCAAGAACACGATCTGAAACTCCTCTTTGACAACAGAAACGTACACAATCTGAAGCAGAAACATCGTAAACTTACTAGCAAGATCTTGTCACATTTAATCTCTCAAGTTCTACTCAACCACATTAAAAAATGTTCCAATCAGACTAAGAAAAAAAAGTAACTTTGATCATGCAGAGTCCAGATTCTGTCAACTAAACGATCCAAAACTCCTCTCGACAATAGAAAAGTACACAATCTGAAGCAGCAACATCAAAAACTAACAGATTTACTGGCTAGACTCTAAACATAGTAGCAAGATCTAGACACTCTCAAGTTCTACTCAAGTACATTCACAAATGTATAAACAATTTCAACAATCAGAAGCAGCAACATTGCAAACTAACCGTGTTGACAGTAGTTTGCGTAAACAGCATTGTTCACAACACCAAATTGATCCAATTCATAATCACGAACTTTGAGCTCAACCTCATGGAACTCACTCATTCTGTACAACAATATCGAAATTATCAATCAGAATCACTGAATCAGATATAGAACCTCGAGAAAATTGAATCCAGAAACTCAATTTCACAATAACGGATCCGATTTCGCTAGAGAAGCAAATATGAAATTAGAGAGATGTGTGTACCCTTTGCCTCCTTTGAGATCGAGAAATGCGAGAGGCTTGAAGGTCTTTGCGCTCCGGAGAGGAAGCATAACCGGTCGTCTCCACGAATTCGGAAACACCACAGACATTGCCGGAGCCGCCGTTCCGGTGCCCGTAATTTGAAACATTCCGGTTTTTTTTTTTTTTTTTTTTTCAAACCGCGGCGAATATATCTGTTGGGATATGCCCCGAGTAAGCAATTCCCAAACCTGAGAAGAGTAGCTACATGTGAAGAATAAATGGTCCCTTGACTCGAACTTGACAGAGAACACATTTAAAGTTCACTCCCAAATTCCAATCCATGCTCTCATTTTGTCTCCTCTAATTAACCGATTATGTGTTGCACAATGAACGAGTACTTGGGCCTGGGGGTAGCTTGAGAAAACCAAATCCCCTTGTTTAGAATTATGCTTTTGAGTTTTGACTATCCCATCACATTGTTTAGAATGATGGAATTAAGTTTTCCAGTTTCCGTGATGATACAATGCATGTGGCACAATTCTTGAATTCATCAAGAGAGACACCAAGTGTGGCACGATTCTTGAATCTATCAAGAGAGACACCAGGTGGTTATTTGCTTAAAGTATTTACAAATTACAAGTGATCCAAAAAATTTTGGAATAAACTAGGATGAATGAGCAATCAAAATTATTTGGTAAACTATATATAGAGACAATTTTCAGCTAGAAAAAACCTGGAAAATGGATGGATTTGAGAGGGAAATGGTGATCATTCCCCCATGTTTGAACTACAAATTTATTTGACTTCCTAAAAGAATTATGTCATTTTTGTCAAAAAAAAAGATTATGGCATTGAAATTGTTACTAAAATGGAAGTGGAAGGGATGCTTGTAGATAAAGAACTCTTTCACTACTCACTAGTAAAGAACAAAAAAGTGCTCAAACTACTCCAATACCACTTGACAAGAATATATTATGTACTAAATTCTTAAACAAGTCTACTAAAACACAACGTCAAAATTCATCTAAAAACTAGCTTATATATGAGTGAATGGGATTTTATAAAAAACTAGTTAGTTTTTGGATGAGTTTTATGAGTTAGTTTTATGTTATGAAAATAGCGTCTTGTTTTATAAAAAAAAAAAACTTCTTTTATATGCTAATTAGTTACTGGAAACGTCAACTATATTAGAGAGGTAAGTAAAAAAGCTTACCTATAGACACAGATCACAGATCCAAGAGAAGCAAAACCAAGAAAGAAGTAAAATCTGTTTCCAAGTAGATCCATTTGATTTCACACACGATTCATTTCCTCAACAGACAAAAAGAAAAAAGATACAGTATCTACCAAATCATAATATACCCATTTCTTTCTTTTAACCTTTTAAGAGCTTTCACACACTTGGCCAAAAATAAAAATCAAAAAGAAGCTTTCATTTCACACACCAACAAATCCCTAAGCACATAAATCTCTGGAATTTACTTCCTTGTACGTCTCTATTCTTTATCAGCATATATATGCAAGAGCCAAATGAAAACTCACTCATCTCATAAAAAACAACAACACACATTTCAAAGAACTCTGAGATGGTAAACCAAAGAGGGTTACATGTAGTGATGATGATCATCACTGTTTGGCTTCTTTATGCAGCACCTAACATCCATGGCTGGGGAAAAGAAGGTCATGAAATCATCTGTAAAATCGCTCAGGTTTTGATTTTTCATCTTCTTCCGTATTTTGGCTTATGAACAAAGTATGTAATGTAATAACTAATAAGTTAAGGAGACGAACAGACTAGATTGGATGAAACCGCAGCAAAGGCGGTGAAAGAGCTGTTACCTGAATCCGCAGAAGGAGACTTGTCTAGCTTGTGTCTTTGGGCTGATCGTGTCAAGTTTAGATACCACTGGTCTTCTCCTCTTCATTACATCAACACTCCTGATGCATGTTCATACCAATACAATAGTGAGTGTTTTTTATAATATCCATTTCACAAAATCATCAAAAGCATAAGTGTTATGATTCCAACCACATTTTCTTTGTGTCGGGTCCAAAGGGGACTGCAAGGACGAAGCTGGAGAGAAAGGAAGATGTGTTGCAGGAGCCATTTACAATTACACTACACAGCTTCTTTCCTACAACACTGCAGCTTCATCTCAGTCACAATGTAGTAACAAAACGTTGCCACCTTTTTGCTTTTCACCAATTTCCTCATCTTTTATCTCCCTCTCATGTTCCGTTTCGATTTTTTCTTGTCATCAGACAACTTAACCGAGGCCCTGCTCTTCGTGTCCCATTTCATGGGTGATATCCATCAGGTATTATTATAAATTTCGATCAAGAGAACCGGTTTCTTATTTGAGTATGTCTGAATATCATAGTTGTAAAATGCAGCCTCTACATGTGGGTTACGCTTCAGACAAAGGAGGGAACACCATCGAAGTACATTGGTACAGGAGAAAAGCTAACCTCCACCATGTAAGAACTGCCAAACGCATATATAATTTCAGCATAAGATAATACAAAGTTCTAAACTTTAGTTTCATACAGATATGGGATTCCAATATTATCGAAACAGCTGAAGCAGATCTCTATAACTCTGAACTAGAAGGAATGGTGGATGCACTCAAAAAGAATATCACGGTACTCATGCATCAAAAAGACTGTTCTCTACCTGTATGCTACAAGGTGTTTCTGACTTGTTGACATATTTTAATAAAATGCAGACAGAATGGGCAGATCAAGTCAAGAGATGGGAGAGTTGCACAAAGAAAACAGCATGCCCAGACATGTAAGTCAGATACAAGATTACAGTACCTTTGAATAAAAGTGATTGTTCTTCAAGCCGGCACGAACCAGACTTAACTTCCACTTGCTTTTCCCCTGTAAATTTCACACAGATATGCATCCGAAGGAATTCAAGCAGCCTGTGACTGGGCATACAAGGGGGTAACTGAAGGAGACACTCTAGAAGGTAAAGAATTCACCCAAAAAACTATGATGATTCACAAAAGAAAGAAGCTAACAAAAACATAATGTCATCTTCGCAGATGAATACTTTTATTCACGTCTACCAATAGTGTATCAGCGCTTAGCACAAGGAGGGGTGAGACTGGCAGCTACCCTAAACAGGATTTTCGGTTGAAGCCGAGTTTATAGCATTTGATTACTCTAAGCCTGTCTTAGTAGCAGATTAAGAACTGCATGTTGAAACTTGAAACTAAGAAATTGCAGATTGCAAGCCCTAAGCAAGGCAAATCTCTTTATTTATCAAACAAAATAAATTACGTGTACTCACAAAGTATCTTCTTCAAACAGTAGTAATCAAGCAGAGCATTATTATCATCAATATGTTTACTTTACAACACACACATCAAGCCAGGGTTCTCGAACTCTGTAACGAGAAGAGGTCTTCAAGCTTTTGTCCTCACCACAAGAACTGGGCACTTAGCATTGTTAACACAGTAATTGCTAACACTTCCAAGGAAAGTCCTGTTCACACACACACATAGAACGTAAGACACATTACCATCTCCGAAAACTTAGCTCGTTAAACATCAAACTTTCGTCTACACAGTACACACCTTTGTAATGCTCCTTTACCATGGCTTCCAACAACAAGCATATTAACACCAAGCTTCTCAGCAGCTTCACATATCGCTTCTTTAGGATTTCCAAATTCCAACACCTTTCTTGGAGTAACCTGATAACACAACCAAACCAATTAGTTCAAACACAAGATTTTACCCATAACATTCTAAAATGACGATGCGTCGCCTTTTTCGAGCTCTAATACTGATTGATAATGCTATTATCTGACTAATTTCATATCACTGAAAGATCTTAAAACAACAAAGAATGGTTGTGATAGAGACTAGAGACAAACCCCAATCTCAGCACAAATTTTGGTCCCTTCCTCAAGCCGATTCAATCCAGCGTTCCTATAATTCTCTTGCATTGAGTTTATCAGCTCAATCGCTACAACACAAAAGAGTAAAATTCAAACTCAATTTCAAAATCAAAACCACAAATGAAATCGCCATTAAGCAAAAAAACAAAACACAGAAATCGAAGATGAAGAAGATACTTACGAGCAGCGCCATAAGAGGAAGCATAAACGCAGCTGAGATCAAGTGGAGGTTGAGCAGTGAAGAGGATGATATCGGAATCGGCGATACTATCTTTGAGATAGACAAGCGTCCATTGAAGAGCGCGTTTACTACATTCGCTTTCATCAATCGCCACCATCACTTGCTTCTTCAAGCTTTTCTCTTCTTCCGCCATGGTTTTCTTCTCCGTTGTGATCGATCGTCCGATGACTATATATAGAAAGTGAAAAAACCGGAGGAGATACTGTTGTTTTTGACGAAAAGTCAGAATGATGACGTGTCGATACCATAGAGGAAGGCACGAGGTTTTTCTGGAGATTTTTAAATCTATGGGCCTGATCCAGTTTCGGTTTTCGTTTTATACTAATTCGTCTTTGTTTTATTAATGACATATTAACTAATTGTGTAGATTCCATAAATACGTTTTTACCTTCCAAAGTTCAAAGAATAAATGAAATATAGTTTGAAAGTTGATGTTTTAATATACAGTAAAACTTTTATAAATTAATACTCAATAAATTAATAAAATAATAATTTTTTTGAAAATCTTATGTAAACATATGGTCCCATCAATACCATAAATTAATAATTGTATAAACTTATCAATATATATATATATATATATATATATTATGTAAAATATTTAGTAAAATACGAATATAGTATTGTTAGTTTTTCTTAAATTTGTATTAATTCTTGGTAGATTTCAATTCTAATATTTCTACTATATCTTAAAAACTTTTGTGTTATTTTCTAAGCTTAACAATTTATTTTCTACTTATAATTTGTTTTTGAAAGATATTGATTATAAATAAAAAACTGTTTTTCATATAATAATTTTAAGAGATTACAAAATTAGTAAAATCTCTCTATTTATCGATAAATTAATATCTCTTTAAATTAATAAATTTTCTCGGTCTTGACATTATTAATTTATGGAGGTTTTACTGTATTATCAAATTTAAAAGTTCATGCTTTTTCATATCCCCCCCCCCCTCAAAAAAAAAAAACTAATGGCTCTCTCTCATTTAATGAAAGTTATTTCTTATTTGTCGGCAAAAAGAAATAAATCAACTTAGACGTCAAAACTCGGAAAAAGAAAAGAAATAAAGAAACCAGATTAAGCCCATTTTAATTTGGGCCCATTGTCTACAAAAGTTAAGGCTTTAAAATATGACACGGACCGGGGTAACCCAGCAAACTTGAGCCCTTAACAAATTACACAAAACAAGAAGAAAAACCCTTATTAGTTTTTCTGACAATTCTGAGTCTTCCTTTGCCCGTGCGTTGACGAGAAGCCGATTTCCGACTTGCAAAGATGGTCAGTCTCTGCTTTAAATTTGATGTTTTCTAATTCATCCCCTATTTGAACTTCTTGAATATCTCTAAATACATTGGTTTGAAACACGTACAAGTGGTTTTTTCAAAACTTAAAAAAAATTTCTATGATGGGCACTAACTTTTCTTTGAATTTGTTGACAGCCTCTGGGAATCTGTAGTAAGGTAAAAATCTGGACTGTTTGTTTTGTTCTTTATCATATCTTTTTATTATTCGATTTGTTGACACGGTTTACATGTTTGGATCAGTTTGAATTTTCCGATAGAACACCCTGGTCAGTATTATCGGTGGATCTCCATCCAGAAGAACCATGGTACTTTCCTCCTTTAATGTTTTAAAGGATCCTATGTTTTTAATTTAATCAATAAAAATTGTTGTTATAGGATCCTGGGAGGTTTGTCAGTTGGAACTTTGTCTCTCTGGGATTATGAAGAACGGGTATTAATAGACGATTTCTATCCGTCTCCTGGTTCTCCGGTTTGGTCAGCTAAGTTTGTTGCTCGCAAGCTGTGGGCTATAGCTGGATCTGGGGACAAGTGTATTCGTGTCTACAAATGGTACAACACCTCAGAGCCACTTAAAGTAATTAGTGACGCTCATACTGCTGCTGTTAGGTGTCTTGCTGTTCATCCCACTCTTCCTTATCTTTTGTCATCATCTGATGATAATACAATCAAACTTTGGAACTGGGACAAGGATTGGTCTCTCTCTCGGGTTTTCTTAGGGCATTCCGCTTCTGTTATGCACGTGACTTTCAATCCCAAAGACCCCCATACCTTTGCTTGTGCATCACTTGACAATACCGTTAATGTAATTACTTGTTGTTCACGTCATTTTTTTTTTTTCATCGCTAACTCTGTTTCCCTTATCTAGATATGGAGTCTTGGTTCTCTGGAGCCAGTTTTTACTTTAGGGGAGGAACATGCAGAAGGACATCTGGACGGGGTATTTTGTGTAGAGTTCTCTACTCTTAGTGATAAACCCTACCTTATCACTTGTTCTGCTGATCATACCGCTAAGGTGTGGGACTACCAAACAAAGAGATGTATTCAGACACTTGAAGGTCATACTGACGTTGTTACAACAGTGTGTTACCATCCAGTGCTCCCAATTATTATTACAGTAACTGAAGATGCAACTGCCCTTATATGGAATGCCACCACGTTCAGGTAACGCCTGTCATATCTCTAGTGTAACTTCTATTAACCGGGTTTCGTTAAGTTTTACATAAACTAATTTAACTCAGTATCAGTATTTGATATCTAGGCTCGAGAATAATACATTGGATGTTGGCTCTCCTAGATGTTTTGCTATCGCACACATGGAAGGTTCAAACCGGTAAGTTTCTGAAACTTTAATGTGGCAGTGCTTATCCTTATGTCTCCTACATAATTTATGCATTAGTTATACAATATCTTTTTCAGGGTTGTGTTTGGTTGCCTCTATGGTCCTCAAATGATGAAACTTAGCCTTGAAATACCATTGGCTTGTATGGACAATACTGGGACAATTATTTGGGCTAAACACAAGGAGATACTTATTGGGAAAACCACAGATCTCATGATGCTTTCTCAAGGAGATGAGGTAAATGATTTTAACAATTTCTCGTTGTTGCTTTCTTTTCTTTTAGATCTTAATATTAGCTCATGTTGGTAAATGTTTAATTGTTTGGTTGTGATCTTACTTAGTTCAGTGATCTTGAGAGACTCCCCTGGGATTTTGACCGTTGGCTAACAACCTTCGATTTTTGTCCTGAAGTAAGTGCATAAATTTGTATACATTGTCACTCCCTTTAGTGGACATGTAGTCTTGTTATTTATTTTTCGGGCAGTTTGATAGATTATATCTGAACTTTTGTAACTAACCAACTGTCATATATGTTCCTGTTTTTTCAGAGCTTGAAGCACAGCCCTGATGGCAAGTATGTGATTGTTTGTGGAGATGGCAAGTACACTATTATCAACAGTTCCTTTCCATGGAAAGTTGTGTCATCTGGCTCGGCGCTGGAAATTGTTTGGTCATCTGATGGGGGATATGCTCTCAGGCAAAGTTCATCACACATCGAGATCTTCAACAAGAACTTCGAGAAGAAGGGGATTGTGACGCCTCCTTACTCAGTAGAGCACATTTTTGATGGGACGTCCTTGGCAATAAGCTCAAGTAATTTCCTCGAGTTCTATGATTGGGAGAAATTGGCGGTCAGTTTGCGAATAGATGTTACCAAAACTCGGGATCTATACTATTCTGACAGTGGTGATCTAGTTGCAATTGTCAGTGATTCATCGTTCAAAATCCTTGACCTAAATTGTGATGGTGATAAAACTCTCAGTGAAACCAACCATGATGTTCGGACTGGCGTATGGGTTAAGGATACTTTTGTCTATATCACTGCGGTTGGTGAGCTTATTTACTGTGTTGGTCGTTCTAAGGTAAGAGGCTCAGGTTTGTAGAAAATTACTGTGTTATTAATTTGTTGTGTATGAGGTACAGTCTTGTATTTACACCTCTTAAATTACAGGCAACGAGAATGTGTATTCTGCGCCGTCCTATGTCGTTGATGGTGTGTAAACTTAATGCAAGTCAGGTTTATCTAATGGACGAAGAGTTTAAGTGAGTATATGTTTTACAGTTATATATATCATCACTGCTGAAGAATGTTGTTGTGTAACTTTCTGACTCTTTTTTTTGTCAACTTTGATTGTTTGCAGCTTGTTTGGTTACACTTTACCTACAAGTTTAATTGATTACAAGAGACTTGTGTTGCGTGGACAATTGGCTAAGGCTGTGGAAGCCTTTACTTCAATTCCCAAGGAAAAACATAAATGGCATGACGTTTTCTCTTTGTATTATATCATTTCTTAAGTGTTGTGGTTATAGTTGGATTTTTGTTGCATCCAAACTTTGTGATATTCTCATCTTCAAAAACCTGCTCAGGGTGGCTTTGTTCTTGGAAGATCTACAACTAGCTGGTTTCAAAAGTGAGACGCCCGAGGTCAGTGTATACTTTTGGAAAGCAGCTTTGATTTCCATGACTTGTAGTGTACCAATATTTATGTTGTGCACATTCAACTCTTTACCTTCTAACAGGATTTTGCTAAAGAAGAAGAACTGTGGATAGAACTTGGCTATGTCCCACCAGGAACAGTGTTCTAGGTGTGGAAAGAGAATGGTTTAGTTTCAAGATGGTTATTGTACAATATGCTACTTCATTTCGTCCGAATACTTGGTTTAGTTTCCAAGATGTCCGAATTCTTGCAAGCTAAGGTTATATTGGATATTTTGACAATAAGTCTAATATATTATGTTTTGAATGTGGTCGTATTATTTTTTAAAAGTTTCCAAACTCTGGCAATAGAAGGGTCTTCAAAGCCTTTGTTTTCAATAAGGTTATTTTGGATAGTATGTATTGAATGTGATCGCATTTTTTATTCTAAAGTTTCTTGTGCAAAAACCCCACCAACTAACAAAAATAGTTTTGACTGGTCTAATTTGACTTTTTCCGAGGTCCGATGATTATATAGAAAGTGAAAGAACGAAGGAGATTTGTTGTTTATGACTTGGGTGCTGTTTGTTTGCTCATTTGGGATATGCATCCAAATGATCCATCCAAATGCTCCATCTGACTAATCCATCTGAATGATGTTCGTTTCTATTTTTGGTAGTTCATCTGAATGGTCCATCTAAATGCTTTTGCTTAAAACTTTGTTTGTTTGGTTGACAACCATTCTCATTTAGATGTTTTTGAGAAGAAAAATTACTAAAATGCCCATGTTTTCATCTAATAATATTTTAATCCTTAATCTTAACCATATTAATTTTAATTATTGATCAAATATATATTTATAACCAAAGAAATTTCAAATTATTATATTTGACATTTATAAATTTTCATTTTCATGAAATTAATTTTTTTTTATAAGAACCAAAGCCTATGTTATGACAATTAAGGATCCAACATCATTACCAAACATAAACTCCAAAAATCTTAATAACAACAATCAGTCTTCTCTACGTTGAACCAGAAGAGATTATTTAATCAAATTGTGTAAACGTCAAATTTACAACTAGACACTAGAGTTCCCAAGAAACATGAAAGACACAAGACACTAGACACTAGAGTTCACAAGACACTATCTTGAATGATAATGCAACATGCACATGATGATAATGTACCATAAACCATGGTGGAGTCAACCAAACTCGAACAGACATTACAAGCAAAGCTGCGTAAGAAATTCAGACTAATTTTAGCTGACTCAATCAAATTATTCAGTAAAAGAAATGAGGCCAAAACAGACTCAAATTTATAGAACAAAAAAGAGAGAAAGATATTCACAAACAGAAGCAAAGCTGTTCCTGGATTTACATGCTTCGTTGCAGACAAATCAAACTCAAAAAAGTCATATAACAGGGGTTTCATTAAAGGAAGGAACTCTCAGATTTCCAGAACACACTTAAAAAGCTAGTGAACAAAGTGGATGATCTTGTGGTTAAAACCTCACTTGAAATCTTGTGGTTAAGGAGATGATCAAGTTCTCATTATCTTAGAGATTTTGAAAATTTTAAGAGATCTCTAGTGAACAACTATGTTTTTTTTTGCAGGCGCATCCAAATATCAAGAGAAGCCTGCGCTCATGAACTAACTAGAGATCTTTAGTACCACAATAGAGACAGAGTTAGGCCCAAAATCCAAGCAATTTCATCTAAAGTTAAGTTGAAACAGAACTAAACACACAATGGCAGCTTTAAATGGTGAAACAGATCAAACATCAAACAATGGCAGCTTTAGATGGTGAAACAGATCAACTCAATACAAAATCAAACATCAAAAACGATAATAGCCTATAAGCATTAGAAACACGAAATCAAACAAAGCCACAACACTCGTCTCCATTGGTACACATAAACTCAATACAAAATCATGAATTAGAGATATATCATACCTCTCAAACAGTGATTGCAGCGATTTCAATCCGTAACACCTGAAACCCACTTCGAGATTTCAATGACTAAAGGAGAAATCAAATCCAATAATCAAACCCATGAGTCTTACCTCTCAAACAATGGTCGCAGCTAATTCAATCGTAACACCTAAACCCACGCACGAGAGAGAAGAAGACAGCCGGCGGAGAGATCAAAGAGGAGTGGAGTGGAGTGAGAAGATGAAAGAGGAGTGGATTCCGGCGAGAGATCCGGCGGAGAGATCCAGCTGCGAAGAGATCCAGCTTCGGTGCGAAGGATCTCGTTTCTCTTCTCACGTTGTCGAAGGATGGCTCTCTGAGTCTCTGTCGTGGAATGAATGATGAGAAGTAGGTTTAGGTTTTTTGGTGTAATTTTCCAAATTAGATAGGGGTATTTAGGTCATTTTGTATTTTAGACTGAATCAGCTCCAGTCAACTGTTCCGATCAGACTCAGTCGGAAAATGATCATTTTTTGGATGAGTTTGATAAAAATCATCCAACTGGTTCATCTCACTGCTCTGTAAAATTGTTATAAACGAACATCATAACTCATCTCCATTCAGATGATCCATCTGAATGGAGAAACGAACAGCACCTTGGTGATTTGATTTCTCTTCTTGTTAGAGAAAAGTCGAATGGTGACGTGTCGATTCCATTGAGGAAGGCACGAGGTTCTCCTGGAGATTTTGAGTTCGGTCCAGAGAAAGATAGACTAAAAACGAAATTATTATTATTTTCATTTTTTTTTTCCGTTTTATACTAATTCGACTTTGTTTTATTAATGACAAAATTTTCAAGAGTTAATTTAGATTTTTGGTCTACAATCTTTCTCTTTTTTTTTGCTAGGCGATTGTAAATTCTCCTTGTTGTAATGTTTATGCCTTTATGGTATGAATAAAAAATAAACTTTTTCTGAAACAAAACAAAAAAAAAGAGTTAAGTTTGATATAAGACAATGAGAATATGAATTTCTGCTACCAAATAATCAAATACAAATAACAAAAGAGTATGGGTAAATTTGAGATTACATTGAACTGCAAATAACATAACATTTGACGTGGTATGTTATCGAATGTATTGTTGAAAAAAATTTATATTATTATTATAATAAATTGAATTAAAAACCTCTGTCAAAACGTTAGATAATAATAACTTATAACTCTAAAATACTAGATAACTAGTTTATTTCTCGTTTGGTTCACCGAACCTTTTAATTACCATGAAACTGTTAATAAAAAATATTGTTTATATAGAATTACGATAGAAGTAGAAGTTTTATTTTTAAATAGAAAAATACTATTTTTTTTAGTGCAAATGGTTTTCTAAAATTAAAAAGTTAAAAGAGTTGAATAATTATTAATGAATAAAGTAGAAAAATGATTCTATCCATTCAACTTAAAAAGTTGAAAAATGAATAAATTGTAAAAAAAATTTGTTCAACTTGAGTTAAATATTATTCAACATTTTTCTTTTTTTTTTCTTCTTCAACTCAATTTTTTCATCCGTATGCAACCATTTGTACTCATTGGGTGCAAATGATTGCCTAAAATTAAGAAGTTGAAAGAGTTGAATAATCATTCATCTATTTTTTGATCATTTGAGATGAATAAGTTGGAAAAATGATTCAACCAATTCAACTTAAAAAGTTAAAAAATGAATAAATTATAAAGAAAATTTATTCAACTTGTTCATCTCCTATTTCACAGAGAAATGAGTCGAATATTATTCAAACTTTTTCTTCTTCAACTCATTTTTTTTCAATTTTTTCATTAGTAAGCAACAATTTGGACCCACTTGTGTTTGGTAAAAAAAAAAAAGTAACAAACAAAATAAACTTGTCCATATATATTAAAAGAAAAATTAGATGTTCACATTATTTGGAACACAAAATAATAAAAAAAAATTATCATCATCATCATCATCATCACAAAAGCTCTATCTTGAGATGAGATAGACCAAATTGTTGAACCTTTTGGCTGATTTGGCTAAATTTGCTGTACTTTTTTCTGTCAACTGGCTAAAAATTTCAGTTTCTGAACCGCTCTTTATTGTTCCATCACACATATCGTCCTTGAATCTTATTATATCACGGACCATCTCCAAATTCATCTGTACTCTGGCCTTCTTATTAGACAGTCTCTTTTCATACTGCTCAAATCTGAATTTACAGTAGTCTAAAAGAACTGAAATGTAATATTAGTTAGCATAGCTATGATATAGTAAATGGTATAACATATTAGAAGTAAACAATTGAATTTGTTCTTACTTTCTTTTGCAGTGGGATATCTCTTTATTTCGCCGGTTGGAGTATATAGGTACATGTTGAGCGTGTGGATGTAGGAGATGAGACACAGACTTACCTTCAACTCCTCAATCATAACAACCACTTTTGATTCTCATATTATATTAATTTGATATCGATAGAATCGTCTAGAGGATGATTGAAAGACGGGAATGCATTAAGTAAAAATAAATTAATTACACTATAAAAAAAGACATTCACAGGACGTGAAATATGTGCAATGCATTCATGCAAGATAAATTATAAGGGAGACACTCACCTTTATCTCACAGATGGGTGTTCCTTCAAAACTTTAAGTAACCCGCAGTCCATGTACCGATTGGTAACTCAGTGATATGAATGACTATGACATATAAACCACCATCCTTCGTTTGACGAATTGAGTGATCCATGATACTCGAGACAGAGAGTTTTCCTTCAGTTTTGTAAGTTATTCAGCCATCAGCCAATTCAAGAACTTGTTCAACGTTAATATCTTACACAAAATCGTTTTGGTAATCAGAAAAGTTTTCAAAGAACTCTATGCAATCATCTCATTCAATTGAGACAAGGCCCTATAAGATAAACATAAAACAACAATTATAAAAGAAATAAAAAAATAAAGAACACATGAATGGAACAAAGAAGAGAAGAATGACATGTTTTCAAAGAGACATATATGTAAAGTATACTTTACTATTACTTCACTGGATCTCATATTCTTTTCCAATTTGAAAAAGCAGCCCTGGAGTAAAACAGTTTATTTGCGCTAATCATGCATCAAACCTACAACAAGAACTCAGTCTCATAAATCCTTTTTATATCAATCGTTCTGTTTTTGTACAAGATTAACTTACGCTAGAAGAAACTCAAATTATTTACCCTGAGAAACTCCGAGATAAAATAGTACTCGAGTAAGTCGGGCATTATGTTGTAAAACAAATTGATAAACAACCCATTAATGTGAATGTCGTTGGTTCATAATCACATATTTGGTTACCACCAACATGATGAACATTATGAATTTTTAGTCATGCCATTTGAACTCATTAATACTACATCCACCTTTCAAAGTGTGATGAATGACATTTTAACCCTTACCTCAAAAAGTTCTTGAAAGTATGATAGTTATGTTCGCATTTTTAATATATTCATTAAATAAATGAAGGTAAATTTTGAAACTAGATTAACCACAAGCTTAGGTAGTTTTTCGTATACTCTGATGGTTTTAGTCAGAAACTTTAAAATAGTCACATTTTTAAATTCCAAGTAATTTTTTTAAAAATGTATGATTATTCCTGGTTATTATTCTAAGTAATAATGTGTTGTATTTTTATCGTTTTTAAGTCTTCATAGTTTTAGTGTTTTGTCGAGTCTAAGCGTCTTTTAGATGCTTTTAGGGTCCGTCGAGTCGTTTTTAGTCATTTCAGGTGATGCAGTGAAGATGGATGAAGTTTGGAGCAAAAAGCATTGAAAAGCACTCAAGGAGTATCAAATTACGTTCAGCCTAATTGACCCGACCTATTCACCCGACCAGAGGTAGGGCGGGTCAAAACATCTGCAGATCTGTCCAATTGACCTGACCTATTCACCCGACCAGAGGTAGGGCGGGTCAAAACATCTGCTGATTGATCTGTCCAATTGACCCGAGCTATTCACCCGTCCAGAGGTAGGGCGAATCAAAACATCAGCTGATTCGTCCAATTGACCCGACCTATTCATCCGACCAGAGGTAGGGCGAGTCAAAACATCTGTGATCCGTCCAGTTGACCCGACCTATTCACCCGACCAAAGGAAGGGCGAGTCAAACCATCTGCTGATATGTCCAATCCACCCGACCTATCCACCGACCAAAGAGGGGGCGAGTGAACTTCCGCTGGGCCAAATATCCGTCTTAAACCCAGTTTGTTCCGGTTGACCCGGATCCGTTTCTTATGTTTTTAAAACCCTATTTTCTTCTATTTGTAAACTTACGTTTTTTCTGTAATTTTCCTGAGACTTCTCTTCTGTAAGCAACACTTGGATTAGAGATTCATCCATCTTGACAATTTGGAAAAGATTTCTAAACCATTTTTCTTATTTATCAATTCAATTATGTTTTCCTTTACATCTAATTATGTTGTTATTTCTGCAATGTGTGAGTAGTTTCTTAATTGGGTTTTAGGGTTCTAAGTAGGGGATTCAATAGATTGATGGACTGATTGTTATTTAGAGTTCTTTATCCTTAGGTTCTTTGATTCACATTTTCTTAAAGCTAGAATATGATTGATCACCCTGTTGTAAATTCTAGGTTTTTCTATGCATCAAAAGTGTTCAATAGTTGACGTTAGGACGTATTGTGAACTTAATGAACTTGTTTGGTAATGCGAATTTGACAAAGAAATTACAAGCGGAAGTTTAGTAGTCGAGTAGTCAAATTTAGTGATTAGTGTCTTGAGAGAGAATTAGTCTAAATATGTTCATGTTCAAGAACGATACTTAATTGTTGAATTCCTTGTCTCATGTTTCTATTATTTATTGATTTCTGAAATATCCTATGGCTCAATGTCTTTAAATCTTGAAAGTTAAATCGTTTAATTTATTTGCATTTTATTTTACAAATCTGAAAACGAAACAAACAACCTTTCCGCTCTAACTAAGAATAAGTTTCGGAAATCTTTAGTGTACTATTAGTTCTGGTGAATCAACCCCGTATATACTATCTTGCGGTTAAGTGTATCAGATAATTATTCGAACAATTAAGTACTTAGTTTTCATCTTAATTTCGTTGTTAGTTTAAGGAACATGCAACTATCTATTATAGTTTAACTTTTGTGAAAGAATGTACATCAAATACACTTTGTAATATTTATAAAAAAAAAATATTATAGATATGGGGTGCAAATATTTATGGTGAATAATTATATAATATATTTGTCATAAATTTTGGTAAAGGATATTAACTAATTGTTTAGAGTCCATAAATACGTTTTTACCTTCCAAAGTTCAAAAAATAAATGAAATAAAAATCGAGATCAAATATCTCCCGTATTTTAAAATATTAAATTACAATGTTAAAAGTAAATAACGAAACAAAATTGTCCCATATAAATACTATATTATAAGCATTTTTTATAAGATCAATTTTTTGTTAGGCTTATTTTAAATCATATTTGTAGATTTTAACTTAACAAAATATAAATTTTATAATCTATATTTTAACTTAACAAAATATAAAATTTATAATCTATACTTTATATATATATATATATATATATATCAATATGTGAATATTATTTATTATCGAAAATGATGATTTACGATAAATAGAGTTATGACGATATAATTAGCATCATATAGAGTAAAACAAAAAGAAAAAGAAATTAGCACCATCATCATCATCTTCTCCATCTCGCGCTGTTCTTATTGGATCATAGGATTCTAAATTGGCGGCGAGGTTTCACAGAGCTACTCCTCAAATTCTTATCGTACTCGTAAGCCTATATTACTAGCTTTTGATCTATCTCCGATTTTCTTTTCCTGTTAATTTCGACTCTTACAATTTTTGCAAAATTGAAAATCTTTGCCTCTCTCTCTTGTTCTCTAATCGAATCAAAGCTTAAAACTTTGCTGATTAATTGATTTTGGATTCCGGTATATGTCCTTTCGGTTATCAATTCGCTGCTTGCTTCTTCGCTGGAAATTTAGGGTTTTAGGGTTTTGTGAAGCTTTGTTCTTTGACGAGTTGATTAATTTTGGCAGGGGAGAAGAAAATGGTAACTGGATTGATTAACGAGAACCCAATCATTTACCCGAAGAAAGAGAGGCGTCTTCGAACTGATACAAGCACTACCGATGAGTTTACACCAGAACCAATTGATCAACTTGAGATTTTTGATATCCTTAATTTTGTGAATTGGTTTAATTGCAATCCTTTTGTGTCTTTGTTTTGATGCCATTATCGTCTGCAATTAGCAGTAGCTAGTGTACTTATACATATTGATAAGTAGGTATTGGAACAACTTGACATACTCCTTAAGCTATTTAGAAATCATGAATCTTTTGTTCTCGTATGCATATCGAGATCTTTTCGAAGTAGGTTTCGGAGCAACTAGACTTGCTTTTTAGCTGAATTTCTCATAAGAATGTGTAATATCCGTCTGGTAATTTACAAAAAGACTGAACTTTGTGTTAGTTGATATAGAAAGATATTGGATTATCTCTTTTTTGTTTTTTCCTTAACAATACACAAATCATATAAGAGATATCAAGGATCCAGAGCATCCTAATACTCTGGAAGATCTCAGAGTTGTTACAGAAGACTCAGTTGAAGTGGATGATGAGAACAGTTATGTTAGGTACATGTTGGGATTTAACGTTTTAGTATGGGTTTTAGTGTTCTTTTGAGCCAATCTGTTGAGCTATGCCATTTCTTTTCAGGGTTACGTTCACTCCAACTGTGGAACATTGTAGCATGGCAACCGTTATCGGTCTTTGTGTCCGCGTGAAACTTCTGCGAAGCCTTCCTTCTCGATACAAGGTACAAAGCTTTCTGATACTTTTTGTTTTCTTTGTTTCTCCGGTTCTGTATTCCTGCGTATTTTGAGCATTGTCAATATGATCTACTGAGCTCATATTTGCCTTTCACATTATTGAGACTAGTTTGAACATAATTGGACATTTGGCATTCATGAAGTATTGCACTAATTAAACATTCACCGACACATTCTCCTTGTGATATGTGAGGCGAAGAACCTTTTTCTTGTTTCATTCTTACGCAACTGTTCTGATACTTGCTAAGAGAATATTGCTGTAGCCTCTACTAAATGTCATTACGACTGCCTTAAAAGTACACACGACAGAATTTGTTATGTGCCTCAATCTTCTGAAACAACTCTATATTTTTCAGATTGATATACGGGTAGCGCCTGGTTCTCATGCAACAGAGGATGCATGTATGTCATTTTCAATATCTCTATCCATCTTTTTTGGTATGCGTGTTTTGCTTTACATCAGAGTGTACTTCTTTTAGACATGATGTCTGGTTTCTTGGTCTTTAAAATGCAGTGAATAAACAACTAAACGATAAAGAACGTGTGGCGGCTGCACTAGAGAATCCAAACCTCGTGGAGATGGTCGATGAATGCCTGCCATCAGAAGAGTGAATTGCTTTTATTTTCTTGTGAGCAAGTGATTACACAAGCCTGGTGGTCTCAGTTTACACTATCCATACATGTCTCTGTTTTATTTGCAAAGATTTTGATCCATCACATCGACTAGGACTGCATTGTAATTCTTACTCTGATTTCAAGTTTGGTCTCAATCATTTCAATAAAGTCTCAATAACAATTTCTTTTTACTAAAAGTCTCAATAACAATTTCGATTTCAAAGTCCATATACATCAAGTTGGGTACTTCACATCTCTCTTTCTCCATCTAAATCTTAATGCATTATTACAAAGTCAGCAACTTGTTTATGAAGCAAAAAGCTGTCTATTATCGCTATGAACTATGAGAATTTATCCACAGAATGCTGATTTGATCCTCTTCTTCTAAGACCTATGGCTGTACAATAGTGATATGGATATTTTTGGAAAGGATATGTAAAACTTGTTACACACTTGTTCTTTTTGTGTCCCAACTTATCTTTAGGTTTTCGATTATCCAGAATATATGGTGTATTGTTTCGTTGTACAATATATGGACTCTAATCTTACTTTAACAAGAATCTTGTATATAGCAACTTGGTCTCAAGATCAACCTAGTTGCATAACTCGTAAGGTTTCGATAGAATCTTGCAATCATCTTTATCTTGTACTCCCTATGTTTATATTTAGTTGTAGTTTAAGGTTTTGACACATAGATTAAAAAATTATTTAATTTTATGTTTTTTCTATTTTAAAATATGATTAATTATCTATTTATAAACAATTCAACCAATGAAAAAACAAACTTCAGAATTTCAAGAGTCAAAAATAATAATAAAAAATAATATTATTACATTGAAATTTGAAATTTGAAAAAAAACAAATAAAAGGAAACAAATTTATTTTGCTTAAACTACGTACACTTATTAAGAAACAGAGAGAGTATATGTTGACGAACTCGAGAAACATGTAACAATCAATCATCTTCTTATGTAGTCTCGTGATTTGTATTATTGTCCTCGTTCATCGTTAGGCTATAATTAGAGTTTTAAATTTAAAAATATGCGTATGTGAGTTGTAGACGACCAAAAATATTTAAATTTGTTTACATTAGTCCAATTCGATTGATAATAAATTTTCATGAAATGAATTTAATTGTAATTCTACAGAACAAAAATGAGTGTTACTAATACTATAGTAAGAATTTATTAAAATGTCATTGTTTTTTTTTTTTAAATGTCATTGTTGATTATATCATAAGAGGATAATGAAGACACAAATGTCAAATCGACTTTGTTTTCTTTATTCCTGGTCTTTAGGCTTTATGTACATTTTTTTTGGTTTCTTGGAGGTTATCATCTTCAAAAGATTGGTTTGAACAGTAAATAAGAGTTATTTGGCAATACCATAAGTTTTTAATACATGCACATAGACATTCTTTGACTTGCCCATCTAAAAGCGACACGACCCTTCCTTATTTTTCCAAATTTATTATTTTTTTAACAAAATAGTTTAAAATACAATATGAGCTAATGAAAACTGATATAGGAAGAAGAATCTTTGAATATTCAAAGTTTGAAAGGATAATATGCTATGCTAAGTCGGCACAAATTAGCTGGCTTCTAGAAATTGTTGTTAAAAATAGCTGTCTTCTAGTTTTACCATTTACATCAAAGTTGCAATTTATATCATTCTAAAATTTGTGTAAATCTGATATTTGTCAGTGATTATATAATGTTTTATTTTTCACAATAAAGCATTTAGTTTTTTTTTCTTCTTTTTGGTTCACAACAACATGTAATATACGGATGATGATACATCGACCACAGTCTTGACTCATGAAGTCATGATCAGACATTCGGAGTGTTTATTCCAATTTTTGGATTGTTTTGGTTCAAATCGTTATTAAATCAATAATTTGTGGGACAATGATTTATTAAGTTTTGTAATATTTTGTTTGGCTCGAATAAGAACATGTATGATTCTTCCTATACCAATGATTATGTTATGGCCTAGAAACTAGGTTAATTAAACATCAATATTAACTTATTAAGTAACGTTATCAAATGGAAAACCAAAATTTTTATAATACTATAAGGCAAAGTTGGGGTAAAGACAATTTTTAGAAGTAGAAGAAAGAGTTACTACACAAAGGTAAGAGTTAAAATGAAATCTTTGGCATATTATGAATATGACTATTGTAAACTTTTCCTGTATAGTTAACTTTTAGTATTTAAGAATCTAAATCGTACTTTCTTCTTCCAAAATTCTGTTCCATATTCTTTTCACGTGAACATCTAATCCATATAGTTAAATCACCAAAATTCCATTTCTGTTTCATCGTCACATAAAAAAAAGTTAATGAAACTGTATATATATTCTATGCTTCTAATGAATTATATACTTGGACCAGAATTCATCGCAGGATTCGAATAATCCAAATATAAATAAAAATTTTCAAGAAAAGTCATATTTGGGTGTATTATTTAACTGAAACCAAAACCAGATGATTTTAAAAAAAAAATGTTTGCATATACAAAACAAATGTGTTGGCTGTTGAATTATGGTAGCTCGAAAAATATTTTCAGAAAAATTGCATAAGATGAAAACAGAGACGCGATTAAGAAAATGTCAATAAGATATTTTGCGATAACAAATAAAATGAATTAAAACATGTTTTTGCCAATTTTAAAAATGTTAATTAATCATTATAGGATGCATGATTTTTTTTTCAATTAAATAGTATTTAACTAAACGAACTCTTATTTTCGTTATATAACACAAACTCGACTGAAAAGTGAAAACAGAGGGACTAGGTAATCTATTACTCTTATAAAAGAGAGAATGTATAAATGTTCTTGACAATGTTATTTTTTTTTTTTTAATATTTGTTAGTATGAGTTAAAACGAGAAACTAATTCAGGAATGTATAAATTTGGAAACGTGTGATAATTAATTTTTCATTGGAAAAAAGCAAGATGATGGCTAAAGTAACAACATTTTCCAATACCACGAGTCTATAAATTCCCAAGAACCTGTGGATTCACTATCACTTCTCAAAGCACCTAAAAGTCTCTCTCTATCTCTTTCTGTAAACAGTCATGCATGCATAGAGCTTAAAAGAAACGAAAACCCACAAAACAAAGTAGAGAAACATTAGTTGAGAGATTGAAAATAAGGATGGAAAATTCAAAGAAGAAGAACTTCACTAAAGAAAGTGAAGAGGCAGAGCTGAGAAGAGGGCCTTGGACTTTGGAGGAAGACACTCTTCTCACTAATTACATTCTCCATAACGGTGAAGGTCGTTGGAATTACGTCGCTAAATGTGCTGGTAATTAATCAAGAACTTGATTTTGATTCTTTAATTAGAGATTATCTCACTTTACTATATATAATCTTTTTCTTTAACAAAAAAATGAGAACAGGACTAAAGAGAACTGGAAAAAGTTGTAGATTGAGATGGTTGAATTACTTGAAACCCGACATAAGAAGAGGGAATCTTAGTCCTCAAGAACAACTTTTAATCCTTGAGCTTCACTCTAAATGGGGTAATAGGTGAGTGATGAGTCACTTTCATATCTCAAAACTCTTTTGGTTTTTTTTGTTCTGTTTCTAAACGAATATTTGTTTTCTAAGGTGGTCCAAGATTGCACAGTACTTACCAGGAAGAACGGATAACGAGATCAAGAACTATTGGAGAACAAGAGTTCAAAAACAAGCTCGACAACTCAACATCGAATCTAACAGCGACAAGTTCTTTGACGCTGTTCGTAGTTTTTGGGTCCCTAGATTGATCGAGAAGATGGAACAAAACTCATCCACTACTACTACTTATTGTTGTCCCCAAAACAACAACAACAACTCTCTTAATCTTCCTTCTCAATCTCACGACTCCATGAATATGCAAAAAGATATAGCTTACTCGGGTTTCAGCAACATAGACGGTTCCTCTACAACTTCTACTTTCATGTCTCATCTAACGACAGTTCCACACTTTATGGATCAAAACAACACCAATATCATCGATGGCTCGATGTGTTTCCATGAAGGTAATGTTCAAGAATTGGGAGGTTATGTCCCTGGCATGGAGGATTACATGGTAAACTCGGACATCTCAATGGAATGCCACATGGCAGATGGTTATTCAGCGTACGAGGATGTTACACAAGATCCCATGTGGAATGTGGATGACATTTGGCAGTTTAGGGACTAATTAAGTCGTCAAGAGATGAGATGGTAGAGCCTACCACTATATGGATTTATTTTTATGTACTAATATACTTTTTCTTTTAAGTAAGCAAAAAGTTTCGAACCTTTTTACCCATATTATTTCGGGTTGGAGATTAGAACATTTTAAATTTGTATCTTCTTTGTTGCGAGTAATTACTAAGTCATAATGATAGTTTGTTATACAAGTCTTTGAATTCATGAAACCTTGTATCAATGTATGGAATTTCTGAAGTTTTAAACATTAATCATATTATTTTCGGATTGGAGATTAAAACATGTTAATAGTCTCAAATTTTCTCACCAAACACTCGAATATGAACAAAGTTTTTTGATAATTATTGATAATGCTTGTTTGTTTGTTATACAAGTCTTCGAATTCATGAAATCTTGTATCAGTATATGGAATTTATGAGCTAACCAGGTCAATTTTATACATGACTAAACTTAAATGTAAATAGTAAAGGGTGGTCTCTTGTCTTGAAATCTTTGAGACTTATGTGGATTTTTGTGAAAAGAGAACATGAGAACCTATCTAATCTCACCTCAACAGGTGAAAGAACCCAAAAGCTAGGAGGGACGATCTATCCCAAGATATTAAAATGATGGGGATAGAGACATGTTCATCTGTCTCTTCACCAAATTTGATGTGTTTCTTTGGAAGACCGTTGACGATATTACATGATAGTTGGCTTGATTGACATAAATCGTTTTCGTGAAATCAAAAAATCATCATAAAAAAAAAAGTTAATCAAAGTACTGATTCTTGAATGCTCTTACATAAAATTTATTTAGCATTTAGACAAACCATATATAGTTAATCTCCATACAAAAGATCATTTATATTATAGATTTTTTGGATCGCACTCTTTATTTATCAATTCTATATTTCCCAATGCCTTATTGTTTTTGTATACCAGCAGTAATCAATGTTGGTTCAAGAAGATAATAGAGACAAAGGACCTATCAATTATTTATTATAATTATCCCAAAAGAGCTTCAACTAAAATGATAGAGAAAGGTGGCTTTGGAGAAGTCTTGTTAATGGGATCGAATTATTGGAGGTCACTTCAAAAGCCTTTCATAAGTACATGGAAACTCCACAATGATTTGAACCCAAAGGTACCACTAAAAGTTGGAACAAATATTGATGCACTTTTGAGAGGTCATGAACGATAGATCACACTCATTGTGTATGTAAATTTTTAATGGGAAAGTCGGCCATTTCATACCGACCTATATTCAAGTGTTCAATTCATACCTAACAGTTTCTTATGTGCTAAAATATATCCAATTTTTTAAAAAATTCAAATTTCATACCTGAATTTACCAAGGACGTGAATTGTATGACGTCGTTGCCACGTCATCATCACCTTAGAAATTCAGGTATGAAATTTAAATTTTTAAAAAGATTAGGTATATTTTAGCACATAAGAAACTGTTATGTATGAATTGAACACTTGAATTTAGGTCGGATATGAAATGGCCGACTTTCCTAAATGTTTACATACATTTCATGTTACTTTTTCAAATAATGAACGAATTGTTTTTCTACATAAAGATATAGTATTTCAGAAAGAAAGAATAGATCTTCAAAAAAAAAAAAAAAATCCTTGTGGACGCGAAATTATAATATTGTGACTTAAGATAAATATCTAAAACTGGTGGATAAACGCCAAATACTTTTAGAAAAGCCATGAGTAACGTGGACCCAATTTGATAAGAAACATTACTGTATAGGTCAAATATTCATTAATTACGGATATTGTTAGTTGCAATTTTTTTTAAGACTATAATTCACCCGGCCAAATCATTTCTTTGCATCTTACAATTTTATTTTATATAATGCTCAATATTTACTGGAAATTTTATCCCATAAATTCATGTTTTCCCAACTCAACAACAGCAACCACATTTACTTTAATGACTGTAATAGAAAGATGTTGTGGAGGACAAAATAAAAGATCAAACCACCTTTTTTAAAAAATGTTTTGGAAACAAATAAAATGAAGTCATGTTTGGTCTATATATATCACCAATGCTTAATCTTTATTTTGTCTGGATAGTTTGATTATCTGCGGATTGGTATATACAACCAGATAGTGAGACCAAACCTAAATCTTAAAATAATCAAGCTCAAATCAAGATCGTCGTAGAACCATATTAGCTTGTTAAGGTCGAGATAGGCCAAAATAACATTCCTAGTGCTATATTGATTTTATTAGAAACACCAAAAATAAACAGAATTTGGAGTTGCGCAGAAATGAGGTGTCGAAATTTATGAACTCGAAATCGATAGTCCATCGGTTTAACCCGAAAAGAAAATCGGGAGAAAATACCAAATATTTCAGTTCGTACGAAAGATTAATTTACCATGTTCTAATCTTTGGTTTGAAGAAACTATGTGTTTTAAAATTCAATACGTTTTGGTTAGAAATACTACAAATTATGGTGAAGTAGAGTGGCACTGGTATATTAATGTTGATATGGTTAGGTAGGTTAGTATGAAAGACTAGAGAAAGTCAAAAGTCAAGATGATTGTTTAAGAAGAGACACCAACTTAAGAACACCAGCTGGTTTGGTTCATGAAACACGACATTTACAACAAAAGTTATGACCAGCTTAAAGCAAACAGTGTTATTTTGGCACCAAATCTTAGAACCACACGTTACACGTATTACGCATATATATGCTCATTTTCTTGTTCTGTGTTTCCAAGATCATCTTGTTCACATTCTTCAAACAAATTAAATCCTCACTTCCATAACTATTCAAAATCAAATTTAGTCAAACCTAAGACATGAAGAAATTCTCATGTTTCGGCTAATAGTGAACCAACCTCGTGTCTCACATGTCGACTGTGTATTAGCAACGTGCATTTGTGAAGATACACAAAGATGCCATTATAAATTAACTCGTGATTGATAATGTTTTTCCATATATATTACATCATTGTCATGTTAAAACTTAAAAGCTATCTAATTTTTAATTCTGTTCTAAATGATGATTTTATCGTTTACGAACATTTTTTATTTTTTTTACTATATAGACACGATTCCTCATACGATTCTACAAACGAACAATTCTATCAACACTACAAGCATGAATACAATTGATAATTTTACATTTATACAAAAATCATGCCAAACGGCTCTATGTGCACCATTCGAGAAATATTGTTAAATTTTGTTTCTATTAATATGTAATAGTTTGCATTCTTAAAGATTATATATACTCCAAATTATTTGGTGTAGAAATACTAAACTTTTGGGTAGCTACTGGACCATATGGTCTCAAAAATATATTTTTTAAAACATGTAACATGCGATATTCATACTTTAAAAGAAAATTCTTTCGTATATATCGGACCGATATTTTGGAGATAAAACATTCTTTTGGGTCTAGTTATCCTGATATCATCATGTGAAAAAATTGTACTATCCCATTTTGAAAAAAAGAAAAGAACAATCATAGAAGGATAAGTGATGCCATATGCACTTCTGCACTAATACACATGTAGAGAGCATAGAATCAAGTCTAGTGAAGGAGTACAATAACGTCAGCAGCATTATCCTTAAATCCCAAAGGCAAATGGCACCTTATTCCTTCCTAAATCGAGTAATCTTTCCATGTGCCTCTATGGTTCTTTAAAGAATATTCATACACAATAAATGCCACATTCGTCGAACCAATTATTAAACTTTTGAGCAATGTAGAGGTCGAAAATAAGATTGAATGATGTCGATGGAGTTAAAAAAAAGCAGAGTGAAAAAAGGCAAGATAGCACAATACAACAATCTCTTTCAAGTATTTGAGTCAATCAAAATCACATGCGTGAAAAGACTAAACTCTCTTTAGTCTCTACCACAAAGCTTTCGGCCACTTTGTAGGACAGTAAGTATCAACATCACACTATAGCAGATAGAGAAAGAGTCTTCCAATGGTTATGGTTCGTGTATTTTGACGAGCTAAAATTTTTGACCAATGACTTTCACAAACTCTAACGCACTTCAAATTCAAGATGATGATGAACAAAATAACAAATGTAAGAAAAGTTGTTGCATTCCGTGCGTATCAAGCCAATCAAAATTGTTGTCCAAAATGTTGTTAACTTCACCTTTTTTAAAAAATGTTGAAAATTGAAATTGTATTAAAAAAATATTTGTATAAACAACAATTTTTAGTAAACAATCAGTAAATTTGGTTATCATAATATGTAACTATTACTCTAAAAAAAATTTTTTTTTTAACTTGTTGGCCCTAGCCCTTATCATTTTCTTAATCGGCTAGTCGTCCAGGCCGGGCCTGACTGTTCTCACTTTCCAGGTTTACTAGAGCTTTCTTTCAGTGTGACTGTCCGGTTAAACACTAGCTTTTCCGGGGTAGAATCTTTGTCAACCACAAAATAACCTGTTAAGAAACACACCCATTTTTCATCTATCTCTTGATTTCAATAAACGATCGAAAAAGGAAACACTTGGGATGTTTTGATGTTTATACCTAGTCTCTCGAACTGGAATTTGTCCCCAAGGGCAGCTTCTTTAAGTGTTGGTACAGCAAAAGCATCTGAAACTACCACTCTGGAGTATGTGTTAATGTCGTCGAGCCAATTCTCTAGTTCTCCCGGGTTCTGTATATTGTTTTAAGACAGTATAAGGTGACAACTCTGGCCAATGATCCATAAAACAAAAGAAACAGAGAAATCGCGTACCTCTGAATAAAATAATTTGTCAAATAGCCGAACTTCGACCTTTAATGGCTCTTTTCCAGGTGCGGGTTCAGCGACCCAGTGTAAAAATCCCTGCCAAAGAAATCACTTTTTTATATCAAACACGAATCGAAAATAACGGCTTTTAAGAGGGTAAAGATCTATCTAGTGTTGTTAGAAGAACCTTTTTTGGTATAGTCTTCTTTTCAGGATCATACTCTGCGTGGATCTCAACAACAGTTTCATTGTCATCAGCAAGAACAACATCAGTGCATTTGATAGGGAAACCATGTCTGCAAAACAGGAACCATATTAGCTAGTTACTTCAAGAAAGCTGCATTTGTCTCTGTGTTACGCTGCATTTACCTTAGCATGACTGTTTTACCAAGGGCAAGCCCATAGTAATCTTTTGAATCTTTCAGTCGGAAATCGCCTCGTTCAATGTATACAACTCTAGAGAAAGGAACCTATATCAAGAAACAAAACCAAAAAAATATTTAATACAAGAACCAAAACCAAAAAGGTGACATTCACATCATGTGTCGAGTTCTTAAAAACAGAGTTCTCACCTTGTAGAAGGATGAGGGGTCGTTACTTTTATTTTCGGGCCATATTTTTGCATCAAGCTCTATGACCTTATCAGATTCCATATTGGTGATGACCACCTTAAGGGGATGAACCAACACCATGGTTCGCGGAGCGGAATCATGCAACTCCATTCTAATATGACTCTCAAGGCGATTCATATTTATTATACTACCATCACTGCAGTATATACAATTGATGGCTTATTAAAACAAAATAACTAAGATAGGTAAGAATTGAACTAAACCAGCTAGCCACATAAATGAACCTTCTGGTAATGCCAATTCCTTTTATAAACTCATTCATCGCGGTTGGAGTCACACCCCTCCGTCTCAAACCAGCAAGTGTCATCAGACGCGGATCATCCCAACCATGGACATGCTTGTCTGTCACAATTTGATTCAACTACAACAAAATAATACAATTAGGATGATTCTCTAGAAAATAAAACCTTCATAGTTGTTAATGAATGTATCAGGTTCCAATTTTGACCAACCTTACGCTTTGACATCACGGTGTTTGTTATATTCAACCGTGAATATTCCCACACATGAGGCATGTAGAGTCCCAAAGAATGTAATAGCCAGTAGTAAGAAGCACGTCGAGTTTCAAATTCGAGTGTACAGAGCTACATAACATATACACATAAGAATATATCAGGGATGCAAATATAATTTTGATGGTCTTGGAAGCAAAAGGTGAGCCATTCTTGCATCAAGATCGAAACTTAAAACAACTCGTACCGCGCGCAATGATATAGAATTAAGTTTTAGAAAAAAGACTAACCGAATGTGTTATATTCTCAAGAGAATCAACAATGCAATGAGCATAATCATAGCTTGGGTAGATGCACCATTTGTCACCGGCATGTGGATGAAGCGTAAACTGCAAAGAATATGTACAAACACGTCAAATCACCAACCGAAACATGAAAACAGAATTTGGATTATGCAACAAGAGATTAATATTTTTCACTTGCCTTTATACGATATGCAATAAGGTCATACATATTAAAGTTATCATTCTGCATATCCATTTTCATTCGTAGCGTCGCCTTCCCTTCTTTAATCAATCCTCGTTTCATTTCGTCAAAAAGTTTCAGAGATTCTTCAATAGGCCTGTCTCTCCAAGGGCTGTTCATTTTCTTCTCTCTGTACTCTTTTATTTCTTCTCCAGTCTGAAATCACAAAACAATATACTATTAGGATCAGCTCTACGCAGATTTCGATACCGAATCATGTTAAGAATCCACTATCAGATAAAATTAGTTCTGTTCAACCTGGTGATCAACATATGCATGGCCTCTCCGGATCAACTCCACTGCCAAATCATACAACTCTTGGAAATAATCACTAGTGTATGTAATCTACAAGAAAAATAAAGGTAAGTGTATGTGAGACAACTTTGAACAGAGTAATACTAAGCTTATGTGGATATAAAGATGATAATCTGTACCTTGAAGGGTTTCCAACCCATCCAGTTAACAATTTCTTCAATGTGAGTAATATACTCTCTTTTTTCGGCCTCGGGATTTGTATCGTCAAACCTGAGAAATCATATGTTGAAAACAATGCTAAGCAATGATTTTATAAAAGAAAAAACCATTGCTACAAGCTAAGAAATCTTACCGTAAATAACAGCAACCACCTCGGTCCTTTGCAAGACCAAAATTAACATACATAGCCTGAGAGTAACATTGTTTATCACAATATAACCAAAAACATGTTGGTCTTACCAAGCATATATACAACATTATTCCCCACTAGAAAGTATCTAAAACCTCATTCATATATAGACTTTACCTTAGCATGTCCGATATGAAGATAACCGTTTGGTTCAGGGGGGAAGCGGGTGTAAACATTGCCTCCAGTCGCCTTTAAATGTTTATCAAGAAGTTCTCTAGTATTACTATATCTAAGAACAGAGCCGTCACTGAAAGACACCTCTGTGTGAACCTGATGGAAATAATAACAAGGTTACAACAAAATTGCTCTTGTCAAAATTCTTTCATCAATATACACATTCATATCTTTCATGTTATATTGAAAAAAGAAATTTTTTCAACAGTTTATAAGCAGCTTTGTCCCACATCACCACCATAAGAACTCATAAGTCATAAGAAACATATATGTTTAATTCATATGTTCTTATGCAACTACTACTTGGAAGTAAAGAAGGACGAGATACAAATGTTAAAGTGTGCAAAAGAACCGTCATAGAAAAAGTTATTACCTTAATATTATGATCTGGCGGAGGTAATATGGGTAATGGATTGAGCACCTCTTCACATGGCTTCGAAGCAGCTTCAGCAGCAGCCTTCTTTACCGAAAATTAAGACACAAATATGAAAACATATAAACTCGCAACTTAAACCATTGAGAAAAACAGTAAGATTAGCTACACTCACCTCAACTTTGGCAGGCTTCTCTTTTTTCTCCTTCTTTTTAACCGGTTTCTCATTATCCGCAGCTGTTCTCTCACCAAGCATTTCACACATCTTCTCACCTATGACTTTCTAGAAAACATGACTCTCGATCAGAAAATCGAAGATTGGTATTTAACTACCAAATAACAACAAAAAAAAAAACATCATGTTCCACCTAAGAAAACAGAATTTGCTCACCTGTACAATCTGAGGATCTGCCCAAGGTAACTTTTTCAAGACATCTCCCAATAATTTACCCTCTACAAAAAACATAAATGCATCACGTTGTGTGGAAACGAAAAACATCGAATAGGAGAAGAACGATATCTTGGACAACGATGTAAAGAGCAAAGACTAACCATTAGTTCGGTATCGCTTCTCCAATATTGAGTTATTGTTCTCTTCAAAGATTTCACTAACAGTTTTCTCAATATCTTCAGCTGAAACATCAACCCCTGTTCCAATAACATATTGAAGCTATCAACTTCAAGTTGTCTCTGACTTAATATACAATTCAAGCTAAATTAAGATTACATCGGAAAATATTACGTACCAACACCACATGCTTCTTCAAATTCATTCATGTTGAAGTCTTTAGATTCAATATCTTCAAAATACTTAATTGCAGCATTCCTCTGGGCTGGTAACTTAAAGGACATGATGCATTTGATCAAATCTGAACGATTCATACGAGCACTTATAGGAAGCCTAGTTGCAACCTAACACAACATTATAAGATTTCCACCATTATTGGCTAACACAATCAAGTAATTTAGGGTTTAAGAATCAGAGATTAACTCACACAGTAAAGTAGATTCCCTGTTGTTTTGTCACATCCATCAGACGCACCAGCCTCGTAGATGATGGCGGTGAGATCGGACATGAGCTTCTTGTTGTTTTCGATGGTGTTGCTTGCGGTTTTCTCATTCAAACCAATCTTGAGGAAGAGCTCCATCGATTTCTTGGAGTTTTCGTCTTTCACACTCATCTTCTCAATTAGGTTTTCTTTTTTCGATTTTATCTTTCACTGCTACTTCTCACAAACAATCTTCTTCTCCCAAATATATATTTCTCAAAATTAACAGCAACGTAAATTTGACATAACTTGTATAAAAAAAAAAAACTGCTTTTGAATTCTCTATTTGTGAACCCTCGCCGTTCTCTGCATCTCCTCATCCGAATGGGTTTATTCTACTAATCATGGGCTTCTTGCTTTTAAGTTCAATTATATTCTATTACGTAATGGGTTTTAAGTTTTAACCGTTTTGGGCTGTAAATATTCAACAAATATTTAATGCAAACAAATTAGACTTTTGAACAAATACGATCTCAAAATTTTGTTTTAGGTTTTTAAACTCATCGGAATGGCAAAAAAATTTTTTGAAAAGAATCGCTGAAAGGAAAAAAAAAAAAAAAAAAGGCCAGATTTAACAAATACATTCACCATACCACAACGCAGTGTTCAAGAAAGCGTTAGGCGCTAAGCGGGTGGTGACTTAATGCCTAGCGCCTAAAACGCCTAATCGGGGCTTAAGCGATTTTTTAGGCGGTTTACACGTTTATAACATACAACATTATAAATATGATACTATATATAAAAGTTATATAAAATCTCTATATAAAACTAAAAGTTATGAAATTATAAACAAAAACTAGATAAAACATTTATTTATATTTATATTAAACAATATATGAATATTTATAACTATATATATATATATAAAACTCTAATTGAAATTGAAAAAAATACATTAAACAAGATCTATGTAATTTTAGGAAGTTAAGGCGGTTATCTATACGTCGCATGAGAACCTAGCGCCTAGTCGGAGCCTAAGCGACCGCCTAGACCGCTTTTTAGAACACTGCCACAATGTATCAAGTTTTTTTTGTATAATGCAACAGTTCACCTGAACACGAACGCTAGCATGATTACCATTCAAAACCAAAATCAATTTTAAAAATAACAAAATCGAAGATGCTTCTCTCTAGATCCTGTACGTTGTTCTCAAATCTTTCGGTTAGAGATCGGATCAAACCCCAAAACACATGCTCGCTAGTCGCATTTGTATAATCAATAACTGCTAAAGATTATTATAGTCACGTACGTGATCTATATTCTCTTCACATGATTAGAGCAAATGACTTCAATTATAATGGTGTCGCCAGCAATAAGTATTCATTTTATATATAGATGCAAGTATTATTGATCCAACGATTGATCTTACATTATATATACAAAATATTTCAGATCATTGAGCGACTTTATAGCTGCAATGTTTCAAACCAGAAAACGTGCATTGCTGATTAAGTTCTCTTTTTAATATGTGGTTAAATTTTTCTTAGTGGATATTGTTACTGTCCTTTACAGACATATCTATGTTATAGTGAAACATATATTAAAATATCTGAGAGATATCATACGGCAATGATCAAGTACAATGTATCAAATGATACCCTTGGTGATTAATAATTGTGGTACTATGTAGATTCAAATGCAGACACTATTATCAGATGTCATTTCCAACAAAAAGGTAAAAGATAAACAGAAGGAATCACTAGGTGATCATATTATATTACTTTCTTTGAAATTCTACTACCAAAGAAGATATAAAAAGTTACTACCAAAAACAAAAGTTTAAAATGGAATTGATGTTACGAAAGTCAAAAAAAAACATTTGTGTACATAACTTAATATGGAGTTCATTGTCATTTTTTTACAGTAAATTTTGTCTATATTTTCAGTTGTTAAATACACAATTCTACTACGAAAAGTAACGTAAAGTCTCTCTATTATTACTCTCTTCCCCTATATTTCTATCTCCTTATCTACACTATTATCTCCTTTAGAAGATGAAAAGAAGAAGAATCAATAGATTATCTAATTTATTTACAATACATTATTATATTTAATTACAACAATTTCGGATTGTTGTTTTTTCTTTGTTAAAATCTAATTTATCAAATGTATATCTTTTTTTCTTTCATATAAATGTGTGATCTTAATAGGTTGTGATTCTACATTAATGCACGATAAAGATACCTATATTCAATAAAATAGCTTTTAAATTTTTAACTATACATTTTGCTCTTTCTAATGATAAATTTTCCAATAATCATTTACTTAACACAGAATCTCAATTGCTATTTATCTAATTCAATTTTTTTTTGTTTATGTATTAGTTTGCAATTCGAGGACCTCAAAGTAATCCCCGTTCAGTGTATTCGTGCGACTTGCATCATAGGTGTAAGACACATTCTTGATTAAATAAAATTTCATCTTTCAAACATTAAAAAAAAAAACCAATTAAAAGTTGGTTAGATTCAACTCATCATTAACATTTTAATTATAAATATAATTTGTCTTATATGGATTATGCTTAACACATCAACAATAGTTTATGCAACATAAACTGCTCGGCTACATACATTTTAAGCATCTTTTACTAACGAGGACAAAGATAATTGGTATCTATCTATCTTTTAATATTGGTTTTGGCAAATAGATAGAAATCTCAACATTACTTTTCTATTTTATTTTGTTCTTTCCCTCTTCCTTTATCTTGCTTTAGCTGTTCCTCTTCTTTTTCTTTTTGTTTTATTGTGAAAACTACAACAACTGATTAGTCCCTCCATCTCCTATTGTCTCCTTCGTAAGAAAATCTACAAAAGCAAAACAAAAAAAAGCTGAAGCTGCCATTTTTGACTTGAGGAATCTTCATTTTTCTTCCTCTATTTTGACTTCAAATCTTCTTCATTCTCCATTCTTTAACACTCTTTTTCAAATCTTCAAGGTCTCTTTATTCTTTTCCCGAGGCTTTGGCTCTTGAATGATAACAAAGACGAAGACAGATATCTAGAGAGTTAGAGAGAGGGAGAGGTTATGGCTATTGACGTTTGTTGTTCAGAGGCTTCTGGTTCTGGAATCAGTCCAAGAATCTCATTCTCCTACGATCTAGACTCAACGGACGACGGTGAAGTTAGATTAGACTCAACACTTCTTGATTCAGGTTCGGAGTTCGATTTCTGCTTTGGCTCAAGTTGTTCTATTCAAGAAGTTTCTCCGGCTGATGAACTCTTCTCCGAAGGCAAGATTCTTCCCGTACAGATCAAGAAAGACGAATCTTTTCCCCAGACAGTAACCTTTCGGGTTCAAAGATCATCTTCTCTCTCATCATCATCATCTTCTTCTTCTTCCTCCTCTTCTTCCTCATCCAGAGCACCAGAAAAGAAGATGAGACTCAAAGAGCTTCTATTGAATCCTGAATCTGATTTCGAAGACAAGCCAAGAGGACTATTCTTACAGTTCAAGAGAAGCATAAGTCTTAACTACGACAAGAGCCGAAACAGCAAAGGGCTAATCAGATCGCTTCATTTCCTCTCACGGAGCAACTCCACTCCAAACCCTAATCTTAACTTGCTCCCCAAGGAAACTCATCAACCTCACAAGACTCACAATCTTCCTAAACACAAGTCTTGCTTAAGAAGATCATCTTCGCTCTCTTCATCAGTCCCTTATCACTCGAAGCCACTCGGCAGAAAGAGTTTCGGAAACGGAAACGGTGGAATTCGAGTCAGTCCGGTCCTGAATTTCCCACCGCCGGCGTTTATCTCAAACGTCGCCGACGGATTTTTCAGCATTGGATCTCTCTGTAATGGTAAGACAAACACAAAGACAAAATTGTGAAAAACATTTTTTGTTTTTTTGTGGCCGGAGAGGGAAAAAAAATTCAAACAGAAAATGTCTTTATTTTTTTTATTTGTTACTGTTTGTATAATGATGGAATATAAATATCGACAGCACATGTGAAGATTAGACAGCATGTGGGTTTTGTCTGTAATTTCAAAAACCAAAAAACAAGAATAATTCACAAACTAGGCCGTAGCAGAAGATCATAGGAATGCTTCGTTGATTGGATCTTTGTGATAATATTATTAGCAGTTTGGATTAGAGTAATAGTATCAACATGTAAATAGATTTATCAAAAAAAATGATATTTGTAAAGAAAAATCGATAATTGTGAAGATAATTGAAGATTATGATTTTAAAAAATTAAAACATAGAATTGTTGATAGAAAAATTGATCGTCGTAGTATATAGTGGAATATGTCCATTCATATTCTTGGGTTGACTTTGACTGGCATTTTACGTCGCTCGAGAGGACGTAGTAGAGGTGGGCTAGGCTCGTTAGACTTGGGTTTGGTAAGTTTAGTCGACATTGTAAGTTTGTTTATTTTTGCGTCATCACCAAAACAATGAGTGGCTCGACCAAGAAAACTCCAACATTCCACATTTTAAATTCTAATTATAAGATTAAATGAAATGAAAGAACTCTTAAGGGCCACCTTGTTTTTGTTAAGATCGGATTTGGACCTATGGTTCATAAGGGATAATAATACATACCGGTTAAATTGGTTTGAACTTTGAACGCTTGAGTGGCGGTTACACACTTCTTGAAAATGGTGGTAATAAGCATTGTGGAGTAAGTAAGATCCATGATTAAATTTGTTAGCAAAAAATAAAAATAATAATAAAGCCATTATAAAACAGTTGAATTTCTGTTTTTTTTACAAAGGTTTGGAGATTTGGGCTTGTACTCGCGACTTGAAAGTGGAAACATATGGAAACTCTACCACAACAATTTCCTTAAATATAATGCCCATACATTTATTTATAGAGTTTGATGCTTAAATCTCTTGTTTCATAGGTTTTGACCCAGGGTCGGGCCTAAATTTGAATATGATTAGTTGTATATAAATTGTAAATGAGAAATCGAAAAAATTATATGTCAGTGTGGTTGCATTTTATCTCAATACCTTTCAATTACATGTATTGAATAAAAGAAAATGTATAACATCAATACCTATAGTTTGGACTAAAAATATAAGTAGAATTAGAATAGAATATTGAAATTCTCCATAATATCTAAATTACTAAAATATACCAAAACTTCCAAACAAGTTATTTTCTTGACGTCACATATCTTCTCTATCTTACATTCCACATAATTAAAATTCTCAGGCGGATATACTAACATGTAATGCTAAAATCTATCCATATGATATTATTATTGTACCTCCGGTTTGGAATTTTAAATTGGTTTAAGGTAATCAAATACATTACATATAGTTTTTGGTTTTATTATAGTTTTCATTTTTTTATTACAATAGACCATCTTTTAGAAGTTACTCAACCTTTTAACTATAACTAAATTGAACCATTGCCATAGACTTTAATATAAACTCAACCATATCAACTGGTTAACTGAATTGAACGAGACCGGAAAACAATCCAACGCGGGAAAGTGAATGACCCCCACATGGAATAATTTAGCACACACTCCTTGAAACAAAATTATTGACATTGCGTTTCATTGACCATATACACACGCTTTCGCCAAAGATGACTGAACCTTCTAATATACAATGCACCCAAACACAAAGAATCATGACTGCTAAACACACAAAGTCTTAACACATTATCATAGTGAATCCCGCGGAAGGTTAGTAATCGATCATAGATAACCCGGTTGTGGTAATTCAATCATCAATAAGCAGATGATAAGAGGAATGAAAGATGACACACAACAACAACAGTCTAAAATCTATAAGCTTGGATCATGATCACATAAGGCAAGAAGATTTGATAAAAAAATGTTAAATCCTATTATTGATTAATATTGGCTTTTCTTTACAATGAAGAGTATGTTCCAATGAAGTTCCAATGAAACAGAACTACTTTTGTCCCATATCTTTGTACAGGTTATTCTCAGCCAATGAACATTAGAAACCCCAAAACTAACAAAGAATAATTTTAAAAAGAAGCAAAATTGTGCAATTCACAAACTTCAAGCACTCCAAGTCTCCAATCCATCAATATCATCATCTCTGCAGAATCAGTAAACACACTTTACTTAACAATATAAAAAAAGGTCAAAAACAAAATCATACCTTTCCCTTCTCAGCTTGGTCTGGAACATTGTAAAGATCTTCAGTGATTTCAGTTATATAAGAACCAAAATTCAACAACTGTAACAAACAAAAACAAACCAAAATCAGAACACTTTTACCAACAAAACTTCGAAAAAAAACTGCGAATTTTTCAACTTACATCGATCTGTTTTTGAACGTTTCTTGATCGTTTCTTCGGTCTACGCGGTGGTTTTTGTCCCGTCATCTTCATATAATCTTCTTCAATCTCCTTCTTCGACAACGTATAGTACAATCTACTCCGATCTTTCCTCAATTCGTTTCCTAAAATCGACGAATTCACTCGTTTATTCTCTTCAATCACTAATCCCGAATCGATTCCCGAAATCGGAGCTTTACAAGCTGCTCTTCTCTTTCTCAAATTCCACGGCCGTACCTCCACCGTTGCTCCCGTCGCTTCCGGCGGTGACGGCGGTGATACCTCTCTCTCCGGCGGAGAATCCTCCCTCTCCATCACTTTATCGTCTTCTTCTCCTTCTTCGCCGGGAACTTGTTCCCTAAATATCGATTCCGTTATCTTATCAGCAACGTTTCTAAGATCTAACATAATCTTCTCTCTAAACTCTTCGATTCCTTCTTTCTCCGATGATTCAACCATCAATCGTCGAGTCTGATGATCGAATTCGAAATTCGAAGAACGGCGACGGATTCGTTGATCACCGCCGGAGCTAGAACCACCACCACCGTCGGAATCATCACCCTTCACACACCTTAGATGTCGTTGAGTCCCCCATAACTTCGGTAACGAGAAATTGATAAGAATCTTTGATCTCTCATGTCCCGTCGTCGTCGCCATTGAAAATCAAAAACCTAGAAAAAAAAAAAAACTCTTTCTCTCTTTCGTCTTCTTCGTTAACTTTTTTTTTTTTGCTCTCGCTTTTGAGAAACGGAGGAGAAAGAGTTTTGTTTATATACGAAGTGCCGTTTTTACATAGAAGGGTATTTTGGGGATATTAAAAGTTTTTTTGAGAGTTGCTAAATTGCGCTGTGAGTTCTTTGGCGCATAGGTTTGAGATAGTCGGTTTAAGTGATGGGATTGATTAATAACCGTTCGATTGTTTATTGACTTCTTATTGTAGCCGTTGATCTTGATCTCGTGAAATCTGAAACTCTTTTATGAGTCCAGGGCTTTTTTTATTTGGGCCTTACTGTTTCTAATTTGGATTTTAGGAATGTCTAAATGTGTAGGGTGATTTTAGTGATTACTGTTACTTAGGGTTTGATTTTATTTTTTCTTTGTTTGTGTCAGCTTACTTAGGGAATTTAAAAATATATCGTATTTGTTTTATGACTAAGTAGCTGCGGAGTTAAGTATTTTTTTTTTCTTTTTGAAATATTAATTTTAATAGAAATATAACATTTCATTGTTGCATATTACAATATTACTAATGGCCAATCTTCAATTTCGGATTTCGGTTCGGTTTGAGTTCAAATTTTTCAATTTTAAGAAGTTTGGTTTATGAACAATACTATACAGAATAAAACAATATATATGAGTTAATATGATTTTAGTTTTGGTTTGTATTTGAGATTTAATATAATATATTCACAATTCATTTAGAATTACGATAAAAACAAATTTGTTTAGGTGCAAATTAAACCATGATAATCTGATATAACCTAATTTTAATGAAGTTATAATAAAAAAAGATATTGTTTAATTTTCAAACGATTGTTTTAGCAACGTTCAGGTTAGATCATATTAGATTAAAAATCTCTCGTGTTGAACCCAATATTTTTAGAAGAAACAAAAGTTCAAAAAAATAATAATCATACAAAGCCTAAAGGTGAGAGTGATAAATCAAGAGATGCTCCATTTATTAGAGGTGATAGTTGTTTTCAGCTTCTCCAAGTGCCAAAGAAAGGACAGAAACTGACATGCGGACGCCCATACTTATAGATCTGAGTTCAACAACCATTTTAGCTCAACTTGCAAAACCAAAAGTTTTAGAGAATGTTGAAAGTATAGCTCTACCTACAAAGTGAAGAAAATGAAAAAAATCGATCGAAAACCTTAGTTAAATCCTTAAAATTTAAATCTAAATAATTACTAAAATCCGACAACAACAGAAGAACGAAGACTAAAAATTTGTATAACATTTCATGGTTGGATATTACTAATGGCCAATTCATCTTCAATTTGTATTTCAGTTCGGTTTGCGTTCAAATTTTTCAGTTTTTTGAATTTTGGTTTATTAATAATAGTATACAAAATAAACAATAGATGATTTGATATGATTTTAGTTTTAGTTTGTATTCGATATTTAGTCATATATATATATATATATATATATATATATCCATAATTTATTTAGATTTACATTAAAATAAACCAAAAATTCCCTTGAGGTTCAAATTAAACCATGACAATCTCATATAATCTAATCTGAATGAAGCTAGGATAAAAAAATTATAGCTTAATTTTCAATAGATTGTTTTAGCTTCGTTAATTCAGATTTGATAATCTTAAATTGAAAATATCTCGTGATGAATCTAATATCTGCAAAAACAAAAGCCCAAAGAAAAATACAAATATTGATTTGGACATCAGAACTAGACCAAACGGGGAGCACACCAAACCAGCCGGTACACATGTCAAACCGGTCCATGCGGAGCATTTTGGAGAATCTTTACCCAAATGGAGTTCTGATCAAGCACAAGGTTTAGAGTTAATTATTCACCAACAAATTAACCCTAAGAAAACTAATGGTTTAGAAGAAATCATTTACCAACCACCTAATTCGAAGATGGTACAAGAGGATATAGTTGATGGACCATCTAACGTACTTACTGAAGTACTCGTTGACAGACATGACCTGATTGTAAGCTATGACGAGTTTCAGCCTTTACCTTTGGCTCAGCCCAAGAAGAAGCCCACACACCTATTTGATCCATCACAACGCCCCAGCCCATGGAGAACCACCCCAAAGAAGAAATGGATCCAAACCACTCTTTGGATCATGCCCGTTGATCTACTTGGAGATGCATAAGGAAACTATCTTTTACCTTCATTTGGACGCACCCCAAAGCTACATCTGGGAACCATGAGAACATGTAGACCACACAAGACATGTACCACACGAACTTTGGTACACCTTACCACACAAGAACCCGGGAGTCACTACTTACCATATATTGAGCCAAAAGAGATCAACTTCCAACGGCTCCTTCCTTATTCACTTATGCACGTCTTGAAGCTTTCTACAATGATCCTAGACACTCCAAAGAATCATGGATTCGCACCCAAGCTCTCAAGACTCAAGACTTTCCATAAATGGCTCGATTTCGTATTTAAAGGCCAACGGCTAGTTTTTAATTTATTTCACATATCTTCTTTCTTTGCTTAGCTTTTAGAACGTTTGTACTCAGCCTATATAAGCTGATCATTAGCCTCATTGTAAAGAACCTTGATCATTTTAAAGTAATAGAAACATTTTTTTTTGTTTTTTTGCCTAAGTTTGAGTCTTTGTCATTTTGTTCTTTAGTTCTTGTGAGTGAGTCACTTAGTACTTTAGAAACCTGCAGATTAAGTTTATTGAGTGATTCAACATCCTTCATTCGTTCATTGATCGAGTGAGTTGATTATTCCACCGGTTGAGCGAGTCAATCACCCTTCTATCCATTGAATCACCCCGTGATTCACGAGAGAGTGCTTCAGAGCCAGCTCGTAAATTTCACCTTCCGCGTGACAAGCTTGAAAACTCTTGATCATCAAGTGATCTAAAGTTGGAGTGATTTCAATCTTGCATCAAATATGATGCAATGATACAAGATGATTTTGACACCCTAAAAACCACATTCCAAAAGTCAAGATAATACCCAATAGAAATCGAATCTAGAGACTAATCTTAGAAAAGATACAATTCTCGCCCAATATAATGATGTTAGTGTAGAACTTGTTGAGCCACAAGCTACCAAATCCGACGAAACCAACTAAGGAACAATCTCCTTTTCTCCTTCAAAACTAAATCATGAATCCACCTGAGATTCACATATAAAATTGTAACTACATTATATTTTTTCTCGGACTATTCTAGAAGATCATTTATCTTGAAAGCCTCACTCTCTTTCAGCCTCTCTCAACTCATCTTATTTAACTTAAAAGATAAAACTTCTTCAACTTGAGGAAACTTGTTATTTTTCCTTAAATATATCTAAAAGTCATTTAAGAAAAATATTGTCTGCGACATATTCTGATAATTACTTAAATAGTCAGTATAAATATGTGATGTCTACAGCAAAAGAAAATTCCACTTCATATGTGAAAATATTGTAACTATAAATTTTACCTTTTAGTTTAGTATTAAAAAATATATAGAAAAGGAAACCTCCAACGGCTACGTAATACATATAATGGAAAAAGTAGACAACCGACCATATGACTTTTCACAGGTTGGCTTAGCGCTCCTGCGTAGATCTAAAAACTCAAAACTTTTCACCTTTTATAAATCTTGAACATTGATGTCCATTCGAAGAATTAAACCCTAAAATATTTTTAAATCAAAATGTCCCAAAGTGGAAGACCAATTTTCCAGAGGGTCTCGAAACTTCTAAAAGTCTCGATCTTGAAAAGACCCATCATCCCAAGACTCAAGCTAATTCCCATAAAACGAAGAAGATCATCCAAAAGGGTCAAACTCCTTCAGCAATACAACTATAAATTTCTCCAAGAGTATCAATTCTCTCCTTCAAGTACATCCCTTATCCGATGCCATGGGAAGAGCATTCAGATATCTAGATCGGGTCTTAAACGCATTTACGGTTTGTTGTTTCTTTCTCGGTGTATCGGCCGGTCTAATGGTGATGATGATAAAATAACGCAAAGTTGGATGGAGATGGAACCTTTGCATTATGTTCGTGGAGTTGCTTCTCCTGCAAGGGAGCTTCCTAAGCCGTTCGATTACTTCAGCGAAGATGATTCGATTGACTTGAAGGCTGAGAGATTCATCGAAAAGTTCTACGATGAGATGAGGATGCAGGCGCGGGAATTTGCTTGATTGATCAAACGTCAAGTATTACTTTTTGAATTTTTGAATCCTTTTTTCTTTTGTTAGTTTTCTTTTACACGTTATTGGTATTATTAACTGTCTATTTAAGACTCAGTTATTTCGCTCTATTTGAGTATTGCTTCTATCAATTTTATAATTTTAAGTTTTATCACTTCTTGATTGATTCTATAAGAATCTAGAACTTGGCTCTTGAAAACAAAACAAAAGAAGTTTAACATTGGCCATTGGGCTTGTCGGATAAGAAGTTGGCCCATCCGAGTGTTTATCTTATACTCTGGAAGTTCTTTTGTCTAATTGGGCCTTGTTTTGAGTCGATGCGGATCTTTATATCTCATTTGAAAACTGTATCATGAAGATTTGGGAATCGAAAATCTAACAATTCCAATCATAAACTGTTATGGGCAAAGGCCATTTTCCAACAATTTTAATCACAAATTGTTATGCTTATGGGTATGCATTAGCTAGTCTATTGGGCCGTCCAATTATTGCATGTTCACATGTATAGTAGTCTATATACAGTTAAACCTCTATAAATTAATACTCGATAAATTAATAAACACTATAAAATAATAAATTTTGCTGGTCCCAAGTCGGGACAGTGTAAAAATTAATCAAATTCGATAAGATAATAAGATAATAATTTTTTTCAAATCTCTATGTAAAAATATGGTCCCAATAATATCATAAATTAATAATCATGTGAATTTATATATATATATATAAAGATAATATATATTTAGTAGTTTTTAAAAATGAATTTCTATTCATAAAATAGCTAACTTATGTAAGTTTTCAAAATTTAAATAAGTATAATTTTATTTGAATAATAGTATAGGCCGTTCAAATACAACAGTTGAAGTCACTATGTTACATAT